ATATGGGAAATTCGCTAATAACAAAATTAAAACTCATTCACTGTCTCAACTCAATTATAGTCGCGCCCGTGTGCGGATTTAACCAACGCAACTGCAACTGTAAAAACAACATCATTGAGGTTTTTGTTAAAATAACTTTTTTATAGTTTTCTGGTTAGTGATTATTTTGTAGATTCTCGGAATATTCAACAATTACAAGAAGAATAGTACACTTACTGTATATTGTTAAATTAAAGCAATATACTGATTACGTTAACTGCATGTTTTATTGATTTGGCGAATAAAACCATCCTGACCATTTTACTGACACAATTCTTTATATGGAGATTTAATTATATGTTGTATTGCTGTATTTTAAATGTACAATCATAAGGAGGTTTCGAAATTATAGTACTCTTCTTTTCAGTTGGACAAAATATTTCATATTGTAGTGTAATATTAAATTTCCTAAGGTCGTTTAGGCCTAAATTAATATTTCGGTTGGAAAACAATAATTAATTACGTGTTATTAATATGTCTCTGTTTGAAGTAAAGTAAAATATTAAATAATTTTTTATTTGTTATTTATACTTGATATTATTATTACAGTACAGTATTATTTTAATAACGTGCGAAAGTTCCGCATTGACAATTTGACCTAGACAATTTGAATCATAGGTTGACCGCAACTGTGTAGCCGTTGGGAGCCTCACATCGTTGGACGAGCCTTTTATGATATCAATGGCATTTCCGGCATTTCCGCTCGGGCATTGTATACCGGCTGGAGAGATCAACGATGGAGAACAGTTGAGATAAGACTTGTTTGAGTTGTTTTGGCTTCTTTAATGTAGCTATAAAATGTAAAAATAATCAAAAATATATAATTCTGAGCAATGTACAGACAAAACTCAATAATTGAGATTTGCCTGTATATTCCAACCAGCATGGTAGGTGTGTGTAACCTGTTCAGTTATAGATTTTGGTTAGTTTGACTAGCCTGGCAACCGGGCTAACACTAACAATGACAGGTTTTTGGTTTTTACTTTCCTGACCCTATTTTCACAAGGTCAGTTTGTGTGGTGTATTTTCCAGGGTGGCTATTTCAGTGACATCCATATATCCATGTTAATCAGACACACGAACAAACACTGAAAGTCTTCAAAAATATTGTTCAAAATGGTTCTACATGCTGGAAATATGTAAACACCTTACCGTACCTACCTTATCTAAAATGGTATAACTCATTGAGCGGAGCGAGCGAAGCTCTTATACGTCGACTCACGCAATCTCCTCCTAGACGGCTGAAGTAATCATTTTCAAATTTTGCATGGTGATAAAGACCATATCGGTGAGTGCTAACAACTATATGGCGTTAAAAAAACTCTCTAAGGAATCCGCCCCACTGGCTCTAAAAATTTCAATGTTATCTTTATGGACGCAGTATTTGACACAAAAACAAAGACATAAGATCAGCTGTTGACTTATTAAGGACTTAACTGAAACGGTTACTTTAAAAAAGGTCGTAGGTAAAAGAATTATTGTAACTGTTATCACCGATATTAGAACAGAAACAGTTTCAAATTGCTACGTTTAAAGTTTTTGAAAACACGTGTTAAACGTGTAGTCAACAGGGCAGTTTTTTCTATTTCTGATTTTGTCAAGAATATTGTTTATTTTACACTAAACACAAACTTTGCAACTGCATTAAATTAATCTATAGTCATCATCCATTAATATAGGTTCTGTGTTTGGGGCTGGCTGTAAATTCGTCAATGTTCATCTTGAAACACATAAAATGCGTTGGTGTTACATAAGTGTTCTGATAACTAGGTGGCGTTCGCAGAGGCATCCACAAAATTGAGCGGAGTCATCAAGGGTTCATAGTATATCGTTTTTGTCATACTGCAGTAAAAACAGTCGTTTTCAATGCATGCGTCTATCTAAGTAGCATTTGTAATAATAAGGGAGTAAAAATCGTTTTTAGCCTCTATGAAGTAAAAATCAGCTGTTGTCAACTCAGTTGTAAATTTCGATTGTAAATGATTGCATGTACCTATCGAAAATATGTATCGATTCGTGCTTCGTAATCATTTTAACATATAGTCTACAGTCTATTCCTGTAGCATTTTAGCATTGCAGATACATTAATCCATTCCCACACTCATCACTGCTCACCTTTACTACTTCCTTCACCACCCCCTACGTCGGGGACCTGTTTCCCTCTCTTCCCATGGAATTTTAGGATTGCAGATACTTTAATGTAATTGCCAAAGACAGTTCCCCCACTCTGCACTGCCAGCCTTACTTCCTTCACCACTTCCTATGTCGTGAGGCCTGTTTCCTTCCCTTCTCAAAACATTTTAGGATTGAAGATACATTAATCTAACTGCCACAGACGGATCTCACACTATGCTCATACTTAAAACTTAAATACTTCCTAAGCCACTTCCTACGTCGTGGACCTGTATTCATCACTTTCCATAGCATTTTAGTATTTTAGATACCTTAATCTAATTGCCACAAACATTACCACACTCCGTACGGCTAGTCTTTACTACTTCTTTCAACATTTCCTATGTAGTGGGCATGCTTCCATCCCTTCTCATAGAATTTCAGCATTGCAGATACATTAAAACTGCTACAAACGGTTTCCAGTTCCCAAACTCCACAGTGAGCAGTGTGGAGTTTGGGAACTGGAAACCGTTTGTATTACTACTTCTTACTACTTCTTTCACCTCTTTCTACGTCGCGGACCTCTTTCCCTCCCTTCCAATAGCATTTTAGGATTGCAGATACCTAATCTAATCGTCATAAACAGTTCCTACACTCCAGACAGCTCGCCTTGACTACTTCCTCCACCACTTCCTACATCGCGGACCTGTTTTCCTCCCTTCCCATATAGCATTTAAGGATTGTAGTTACCTAATATAATCATCATAAACAGTTCCCACCCTCCAGACAGCTCGCCTTGACTACTTCCTCCACCACTTCCTACATCGTGGACCTGTTTTTCTCCTACGCCCTCAATTCCTCCATAGCATTTTAGGATTGTAGATACCTTAATCTAATCGTCATAAACAGTTTCAACATTCCGGACAGCTTGCCTTGACTACTTCCTTTACTACTTCCTACGTCGCGGACCGGTTTTCCTCCCTTCCCATATCATTTTAGGATTTCAGATACCATAATCTAATCGCCATTAACAGTCCCCACACTCCAGACAGCTCACCTTTACTACTTCCTCCACCATTTCCTACATCGCGGACCTGTTTCCCTCCCTTCCCATAGCATCATAGGTTTGCAAATACCTTAATCTAATGGTCACAAACAGATCCCACACCCCGAACCGCTCGCCTTTACTACTTCCTTCACCACTTCCTACGTCGCGGACCTGTTTCCTTCTCTTCCAATAGCATAATATGATTGCAGATACCTTAATCTAATCGTCAAACAGTTCCCACACTCCGGACAGTTCGCCTTGACTACTTCCTTCACCACTTCCTACGTCGCGGACCTATTTTCCTCCCTTCCCATAGAAATTTAGGTATGCAGATACAGTACCTTAATCTAATTGTCATAAACAGTTCCCACACTCCAGACTGCTTACCTTTACTACTTCGCCTCGACCTGAAGCTAGTGTTGTCATTTGATTATATTTATGATCCATACAGTTTCTGTTCTAATATCTGTGGAATAATGCTATCAGCTATTTCTTTATATACTGCATTCAAAAGTCAACAGCTGATCATATGTCTTTGTTTATGTGTCAAATACTGCTTCCATAAGGATTACGTTGAAACTTTGAGACCCAGTGGGGCGGATTCCTGAGAGACTTTTTGAACGCCATATAGATGTTGGCACTCACCGATATGGTCTTTATCACCATGCAAAATTTGAAAACGATTGATTCAGCCGTCTAGGAGGAGTTTGCGTATTACGAAATGCACAAGAGTCGACGTATAAGAGCTTCGCTCGCTCCGCTCAATTAAACCCATGCATCTAAAGACTAGTGTAAATTGAGCTCTTATTATAGAAGTAAAAATGTAATCAAACAGTTTAGGTGTGTTAGAAATAGGTAGCATAAGGCAAAACAAATATTGAAAAACTAATTTACCCTAAATTTACATATCACTTTTTAATTGCTTGTTTAACATACATAGAGTGATATTCCCGATTGTTTTATTTGTTTTAGTGTATCAAAACATAAAACAAACCTTAGTACTAGTACTACGTTTCAAGTTCCTAGGTTTAATATGTTTTGATAAGTAGTATTAAACTGTTAAAAATGACGAGCTGCTGTACCAGTGTACCATAGGTACACTACATTTTTCAATGGAAAGTATCGGGGAATATCACTGCTCTAAGTAATAGTTTTACATAGTAAGTAGTTCAAATCATTCGGTATACCTGAAAAAAATACTTTATAAAAGTTTTTAATAATGATGTTCCTAGGAATTTCTCTAACATTTAAATTAATTGAGATTTAATCGCAGCTGGTCTTTCATATGTTTTGATTTTAATCCCATGTTATTTAAATGGGCCAAAATCGTACTTTGAGGACTTGCCAAGGGTTTACTGAAAGACGCTCGTAAATAAAGGCATTTTTATTTATTTATTTATGGGTCAACGCACCGACTTGTGACCCTCAAAAGGCACATCTACACGTTAAGGGCTTTCAAACAATATAAAAAACATGAAAATTGAGCCAGTGGTTTGGGATGTAGGTCCGTCAACATTCAAGGAGAAGGAGGAGAAGGAAAAGGAGGAGAAGGAAAAGGAGAACGCAGAAAATTTGTGAATTTTCAAACTAGTTTTTCTTGGCTCAAACAGTAGCCTACCGTTACAAGTACAAATGTTTTCAAGCAAATTGAAATTAATGAAAAATGTAAAAATGAACAAAACAAATAAATATGAACTATTTTTTCATAAATATTTTGGCCTCCAGGGACCTCAAAACGAAAAATTAAATCGGTCCCGGGTCCACGTCTTACCATGAGTAAATGGGAAATTCGCTAACAACATTTCATTTCATATAATTTTATTCATTTCAGTACATCAATACAGGAATAGCGATCTATACTATATAAAGTTGTAAATGATTAATTTACTAAGTATCAAAATATAAGAAGGTTTCAACTGACTTATACAATCCCCGCCCATAGAACAGGCACCCTGCTAGTTAAATATCAAGATGTCTCTTTTCACCCAAGACAAGGTCAGTTAGTGAAAGTAATCATTTTAACAAACTTAATAAACAGTATATTTTTTCAACAGGCAGAAGTACAAACAAATATTAAAAATTTAAGAAAACATTTTCATAAAAACAATAAAATTATCTGAATTTAATAATCTAAATGAGAAAAAAATGTAAATAAAAGTAGGCCTATACTGATGTACAAAATAAATATTAAACTAATCAACATAATGAATCTAAACTGATTTGTCTCCACTTCTTCAGCCTCCTCTCCCCCAACCTCCATGCCTCCATCGTCATCCACCCTGTCATCAGGCCTGGAATATAACAGAACAAAAATTAATATTAAAAACTGTATTCTGAACAAGTCTAGTCTTTTTATGCATACTTCTATTATTATTTATTGTGATCAGTGGCGTACTGAGGGGGGGGGGGGGGGGGGGTTCGCACCAGGCCCCACACCAACATAGGCCTCCAAATATCAGGGCCGTATTGCCCTAATGGCAGATAATGTGATTTCCGAGGGCTTCGGCCTGGGAAGGGGACTCACTTGGGGCCTCAAAAGAATGTTTTATTCTCTTAATAAATTTTCTCACAATCTGTTAGAAATAGGGGGTACAATAATCCAAGTTTAACTTGTATTCTCATGATAGCCGAAAGCGTCTGCAAAGATTGCCTGATCAAAATTTACGACTACCAGCGATCGCGGGATGACGATAATCAGGCCTCGCAACCGCGAAAGATGTTCACGATTGCCCCGAGGATGCCCACGATTTTAACCACTGCCGACCGTGGGAGACAAAGATGATGACCCTTCAAACACGGAAGACGGTGCCTGTCGGAGGGTGGTGGGGATAGGGGGGGGGGATAATGATTCAAGGCCTACGTGCGGACATTTTTAGTTGCAATGGAGCTGTGGACAGCTGAGCACCATGAAATTGTAGTGAAAGTGTTTTTTAAAAGTGGCAATTCCGGTGTAGCTGTTCAGGGGTAGTGCCGTAGACGTTTCAACGTGGGTCCAAGGGGAAAAGTCTTAACTTGAAACAACATTTTGCTGTGGGTCTGCACGTAGATAAGCTGTAGCTCTGCACATGTCTGGCCACTCAGTAGAAGAATTTTATGATATGACCTGCACTTTTTATTCATACAAAACGGCAATCGTGCAACAGTTAAAGCCCAGGGGCTAAGCAAAGTGCATCTCATTTTCAGAACAAGTGATTGATTTGATTAAACGTGACAAAATTGCGTTATGAGTGACGAATCACACTTTCAACCACAACACATAGTCTTCCTCCCTCACTCTCTAAGTTCTCTGGCGTCCGGGCTGACCTGTTGATTTTAGTTTCAATGCTGAACTAGTAGCTCTAAAGTTGCTATCCAAAATGATGTTGCGAGTTGGGACTTTTCTTCTTTGATTCACATTGAAACGTCTACTGAACAGCTACACAGGTATAGCAACTTTTAACACATTCGCTGCGGCCCATCAAACGGCAGGCGTAGCCCCAGTGCGGCGCAGCCCGCAGCGTCGAACAAACTTGATTGCCGGGTGATTGGCTTTCATATTTCGGTATGACGAATATCAAATAACATGTCGTGATGACCTGTTTTATGACAAGAGTTGACGTAGTTTGCTAAACACCCACAGATAGCAGCACTGCTTGGAATATAGCCGGTCCCATTGTATTGCCAATAGGAGGGAGAAGGACGGGACACCAAGTTGATTTTTAAGTTTGCCAGACAGGGATTTTATGGGGAAATTTTACTACAAACCTACAACACAACCAAAAGCAAGTCACCCACTACACGCTAACAAAGTATAGGTCTGCCTTTGACCGACGCTAGAGGAAAAACGAAGATATACGAAAGGCATTGCCGAGCGTATCTGATCTGTTACGGCAGCACCTGAACACAGCTCGGCCCATATCCGATCGGCTACGCCCGCAGTGAACGTGTTAAAAACACTTCCACTTCAAAAATACATGGTGCTCAGCTGTCCACAGCTCCATGGCTACTAAAATTTGTTCGCACATTAGCTTTGTAACACCCCTATTTCCACCACCCTCCGCCACACACTGGATTGACAGGGCGGCAAAGAAAACCGTCAAATAATTTTGTTTGTCAAAAAAAATTAATTACCGGTAATTAATTTTGTTTGCCCTGAATGACCTTTTTTATTTCTTAAGATAACAAATTGGCTTGTTGGGCAACGTTTTATGTCAAATGATGAGGTCATCACTGAAACAGAAGAGTATTTTGTAGGCTTTTCAAGTTTGTAGGGTAACTTACTATTTATTTGAACAGCATTTGAAGGAGGTTGGAGAAACTTTAAGATAAGTGTATAGAGCTAAATAAAAGGAGATTATAACAAAATAAATCAAATTTATCCCAAAACTGTTATTCTATGTTTTTTTAAGGACTTATTGAACCTCGCTCGTACTAAATACCTTATTGATCTATCAGAATTGTTCTACTTGTTTCAACTGCTTCTGTTGGCAACGCTTTTCCATTTCTCTTAAAATAATTTTTGTTTCAGTACTTGTTAAAATGCTCGTTATTCTAGGAATTCAGGAGGGTTATGCGACATAGGTTTCAGGACACGGCCCTGGATTTATAAGTATTAAATTTAAGGAAATGGCAAAACTTACCATAAGTTAGTTCTCTTCAATCTTCGTCTTTACTTCGCCCCATCCTCCATCTCCTCTACCTCTGGCAACTCTCCCCTGTATCCTCCAATGTCGGAGGATATTAATTACAACGCCCCCATTCTACTGGTAGGCTACAGGCTCTGTACAGAAATATTGCAAAAAATAAAAAATAGTGTTATACAAATAATTTTAGTCTAACAAATAATACAAGAGTGTAGACTCCTTCTAGATTTGCGATATTCAAATAGGTACAGCTAGTAGAAGAAAATTTGTTAGCAATCTGGGTCAAGCTAATATAAATATTAAAATTTTTAATCAATAATTTGGTTTGGACAAAATAAATTGCTTCAAACATTAATTCATTGTTATTTCCCAATTTGCAAGAATGCAAGCTATAGCCTAATTAAAACAACATGTTAAGAGATGTACGGTAATCCAAATAAATTTTAAGTAGGGGCCTAGTTTTAAATTGTTATAAAAAACTATAAATTTGCATACAGATTATATATTATCCTCATGTTCCACCAAAAACTATTGCAACTAGTGGGCGAAGTGGCACTTTGCTACACATCAGAGAAATGTTTAAACGAAAGTATCTTGAGTGCAGCAAAGGCAGTTTGCACTTGTGTTACAAACTATATTTTTCTTACAGTTATTATAAAACATATAAATAATTAGTCTTTCAAACTCTGTTCAACACGTTTCTAGGTTAGGTTAAAACCAAACATTGGTGAAATGGTAAGCTGTACCTGATGAAGAAGCCTATTAAACTTAGTAGGCAAAAAAAGCCACGGTTAGTAATTGTTGGAGACAGCCATGCGAGACACTGTGGGGAAGAGTTGAGACACATGGGCTGCAAAGGGGGGTGCGGTAGTCAAGCTCAGGCTATCGTGCTGCCCGGAGCACCCATGGCCACAGTGTTGGTTACAGCTAAAAAGGAGCTTAAGGATATGACACCGAAGGACACCTGTGTTGTGGTTGGTGGAACTAACAATGTAACGGCTCAGTCCATTAATAATGTAAAACAGGTGCTTGCTGAAATAGAACAAACTCTGATCCAACCAAAAAACCTGATCGTCGTTGAAACGCCCACCTTGATATCAAAAACTGTCCCAAATGAAAATATAAAGAAACAAAATACCCTGATTAGAGAATTTTGTGTCAGGAACAAGGTAGCCTACCTAAGCCTAAACTCAATGATTGATCGCAATTGCTACACAAAAAGCGGAATGCACCTAAACAAGCTTGGGAAAGAAACTATGTGCAGTATAATACTAGCCTACCTGACTTCAATTGATTTGAATTTGAAATCAAAAACTCTAATGAGGAAGCTTGATTTACCTAAGCCTTCTGAAACTACAAAAACTTACAATCTACCACTGAAACCTCTCCAATCACAAATGACTTGCAATTGACAGCCAACACTTCTGAAATTAAAAAAATCTCACAATCGGCAATCGAAACCTCTAAAAACATGACAAAAAACTTGCAACCGGCAACCGAAACAGAAAACACTTAGATCGTAAGAACAGAATAAGGTTCACACAGAAAAACAATTTTAAGATAACTCATTTGAATGTAAGGGGAATCACAAATAAAATTGAACAAATCGAACATTTTTTAGAATCAGAAAACCCAGATTTATTTCTTATTAATGAACATGGTCTAGACCAAAATAGCCTATCAGAATTAAGAATAGAAAACTTTGAATTTATTGCTGGTTATGGCAGAGAGTATAAAAATATGGGTGGTGTAGCAATTTTCAAAAATAAAAATTCCATAAAACTCGATAGCCTTAAGTCCACAGACATAGGAATAACTTTTTCAAAAGAAACAATTTTTGAGTGTGCTGAAATAAGTTTTTCTGTGAGAAATAAACAGTTTGTAGTAGCTTCCATGTACAGGTCTCCATACAGCAGCAACCTTGATGAATACTTTAGCAAATTAAATGAATATCTACTTAAACTGAACATTAAGAATAAATATATAGTAATAGTCTCAGATTTCAATATCGACTTGATCAAGGATGACAACACTTACCACAGATTTGCAACTCTGATTAAAAGTTTTGATATGAAACCAAACATTTTTGAACCAACTAGAATTACAGACACAACCAGCACATGCATAGACAATTTTTTAACCGACTTTGAAATATTATCAGCAGCAGTAAAAGAACCCCATATTTCAGACCACTGTGCTATCTCAATAGAAATAAGCCTACCTGAAATTATCTCAAACCAAAATAAAACCTTAGAAAAAAGAATAATTACTGATGAAAATCTTCATGAACTTAAAATAAGGCTACAGTCAGAGGACTGGAACTCAGTATATGATGCTCCTGATATTAATACCAAATATGATAGCTTTATAGAAACATTCAAATATTATTTTGATATCAGCTGCCCGAATAAAAAAACAAAACTTAATCTTAGTCGCAAAGGAAAAAACAAATGGATGAACAATGAGATAATAGGTGCAAAGGAAAAAATGTTCCAACAATACTCTGTATGGAGGCTGACAGGAATGATATCTGACAAAGAATTATACCTAAAGCTTAAAGATAAATATAAAAACAAAATACAGGAAAGTAAAATAAAATGGGCACACGATTGCATATCCAGCTCAAAAAATAAATCTAAAGACTCTTGGAAGATTATAAACAGCATTAGGCCAAAAGAAAATTCAGACTGTAATAATATTATACTGAATATTGACGGTAACAAAATAGAAAATCCTATAGAAGTGTGTGAAACCCTAAATGACTATTTTGTTAATGTTTCGAAGCTTGTTAACAAGGATCAGGAAACCCATGCCTTATCTGGTTTTAGGAGGAATGGCACTGCTGAACTTGGAGAATTTCATTTGATTACATCTGCCTACCTTCTGGATTTGTTCTCAAAGCTACCATCTAAACACTCTAGTGGTGTAGATGGAATCAGTATGCATGTCCTAAAATATTGTAGGGAGGAAGTGGCAGTTCCTCTTACCCACATTGTCAATTTTTCACTGACATCTGGAACTTTCCCTCAGAATTGCAAAATTGCAAAAATAAAACCAATTTTTAAAAAGTCAGACAGAACTGATCCGGGGAATTATCGCCCAATCTCTCTCCTACCAGTTGTTTCAAAATTGATTGAGAAAGTTGTTTCGGAGCAACTTAGCAACTTCTTGGAAAAAAATAACATATTGTGTGACAGACAATATGGTTTTAGACGCAACAAATCAACAAAATTGGCACTCATTGATTTCATCAACAGCAGTATAGACGCAATGGAGGCTGGAGAGACGGTAGTTGGTTGTTTTGCTGATCTCTCCAAAGCCTTCGATTGTGTCGAACCTGCGATTCTATTGGAAAAATTGGCATCAATTGGAATCTCAGGACTTGCGCTGAAGTGGCTCACATCCTATATGAGCAACCGATTCCAAGTCACTGAGATTCAAAAAAACTCAAATTCAAAAACTGAAAGAATTTCATCAACAAAAAAATTGATCTCCAATGGCGTCCCCCAGGGATCTGTCCTTGGACCTCTCCTTTTCTTGGTCTACATCAACAACATCACAGATACTGTTCCGCAGGACAGCGTCTACCTCTTTGCGGATGATACAACGTTGTTCGTAAGGGGAACTGACGACGCGGCCCTGGAGGCAGAATCTAATCAAAGAGCAAATGATTTGGCTGACTTTTTTTCCTCAAACAAACTCAAATTAAATTCACAAAAAACAGGATACATGTGTATCCAAACTGCAAAAAGACAAAATTTAAAAAATAATAGGACTCCGAACCTATTAATTGGAGAGGATCAAATTCAAATTTAAAAAACTGCCGACTTTTTGGGGGTGAGATTGGACGATAAATTGAGCTGGGATGCACAAATAAAAAAAAACTGGAGGGGTCTATGGCTCGAGGGGTCTTTGTACTTCGAAGAATAAGAACCTTCGGAAACCTGGCTCTCTCTAAACTTGTGTATTTTGGCCTAATAGAACAGCACATTTTGTATTCAATCATTCTATGGGGAGCTGTTAAGAAGAATATTGACCAGATCTTTGTTTGGCAGAATATGGCAGTAAGAGCAATCTTGGGCATGCCGCCTCGGACCAGCTGCAAAAATGTTGATAAAGAACTTGGCTTTCTCACAGTCCCTTCACTTTATATCTATGAATCAGTTTGCTATATAAAATCACAGAACATTAAACCAACTTTTACAAATCACACTTACAACACACGAACAAAGGGCACACATGCAGTCCAACATAAACTCACAAAATTTGAACACAAACCAGATTACATGGGAATGAAATTGTACCAGGCCCTACCGAAAAAATTACTTGAAATTCAGAGCTTAACAAAATTCAAATCAGAATTAAAAAAATATCTAGTAGAGTTAAGTTTAGAGGACATAGACAGTTACCTAGACGGTGACAAAAATTAGTATTAAGCTGGTTATTCTTTGTATTAACCCTGACCTGTCCAATTCCTTAAGGCAAAGGACTACGGACGGAGAGATCATGTATCATGTATGTATGTATCGTAGTCGTAATATCTTGAATGGGTAGCCAACTTATTTTCAAGTGTACGTATGTATTATGTGTCTAATAAAACCTTGCTGTTCTGTGTTGTTTGGTTGGAATACTGGAGTGTGGCAAAAAAAAGAGTGCGGTAAAAGTAAGTAAATTGCAGCAATTAGCAACTTTTTGTGCTATAATAAGTGCAAGGAAGGCCACTTTGTCAGGTGACAGTTGGAAAAATAATTCACATGCGCTTCATTTTGAAAACTGTGAATGACTGACTTAAACAACCTTTTTATTATTACTGTTATCATGTTAAAATGTGTAATTTTACGCACAGGCCGCCTAGTTATTAGTTTATAACTAATGTGATAACTGTATACACACATTGTTTTTGTCCTATGAAGCTACATGCACTAGTCCGGAATTTTAATTCACATTTCACACTTCAGCCTAGGTCTAGGGCTGTGGTATTCACACAAAAGAAAATAATAAAAATAAATAATAAAATCCATTGGTCATCTGCCAGGATTTGAGCCCGGTACTGAAGTTCTGCTCGCTCCCCTAGGGTAAAGAATTTAGTCAGTTGTAGGCATTAGGCAGGCCTATAAAATATGTAGGAGGCTATGACTGAGCATTGGAACGCCGATAAATATGATCAGTCATTAATATTAATCGGGGCCAATCCTATGAGCGAAGACAGAATCATATTTAGTAAATAAAGTTGTCACTTCCAATTGCTTGTTGTTGAAAACAATCAGCTGTACAGGCTAAAGTTACTTCACCCACCACGGGCGTCGCCGCCATAGGGGACATGGGGGACGCGTCCCCCACAATATTTGAAAAGTCAGTTTGGTCCCCCATCCCAAATTTTAAAAGGAATTTTAATAATCATACAGAATGCGTGTTCACCCGATCGATCGTTGCCAGCAAGCAGGGTGCTCGCTTCGCTGTGTGATTCGGAAGCGTACGACATGATGCGGTGGTGGAGGGGTGTTCTGATTCACGATCCTCGAGTTGCACTATGGATGCCTAGACGCTTGTCTTGAATGTCTTCTCGCGTTTCAGTCCGTTCCGTCACCGTCAGTCGTTGATACTACATACATTTATATGTAGGCCTACGTTAACCCTTTTCTCCTCGTGTGCTGTATCTGTCGGTAGTATCGGTTATAGTTCTTTTAGGTTAGTTGATACTTTTTGGAAGAGTTGATACTTGAACCTTGAACTGTTTATTGTCTAATGAAGCGAGCAGAAGGCCGAAAACAAATTGTTTATATAAAAACCTGCTTGTAAAAATGTAAGATTGTGAGTTTAAATATTAGTGTTCAAACGTCATTGAATTCGATACTATACATATTGTGACAGATCTAAGAAATGGAGAAAAAAAGTAAGGTTAAAAAAACATATCTACTTGCTTGCATGGCATATAACATGTGAAATGGAAGGTTTTAGGACAATTGGGCACAGTTCACAGTTCTATCCATTAGAAATGGCTTTATAAAGTCACCAATCACCATACGGCTTTTGGGAGATATGGCTTCGTAGTCTACAGTAGGCCTATGTTTTGAAATTCATGAATGCAAGTTCGTCATAGTTTGATTTTTAAAATGTATACTTGCTCATGACAAAGACAAATAACAGGTTAAACGGGAGGTTTTTGGACAGTTGGACACAGATATAGACATTAATAATGGCTTTATAGTCAGTAAACAGCTTTTGTGAGGATACGGCCGTAGCCGACAATATTTTTTGAGATTTATGAATGAATGCGATCGTCATAGTTAGTTTTAAAAATGTCTAATTATTCATGACAAATAAAGGGGGAAAAGGGAGGTTATGCACACAGTTCTAGACGTTAAAACTGGCTGTATAAAGTCACCAAACGGCTTTTAGGAGGATATGACCTGTCTACAGCGTGTTTTTAAATTCATTAATGCAATCGTCTTTAGTTTAATTTTTAAATTGTCTATTTGCTCATGACAAACAACAGGTGAAATGGGAGTTTATGGACAATTGGGCACGGTTTTTGGTGTTAAAAATGGCTTTAAAAGTGACCAAACTGCTTTGAAAATTACCAATTTTTGGACCCCCCGCCCTTGTTGGGGGGTGCGGAGCACCCCTCAAGCCCCCCGGTGGGCACCCCCTTCCTACATTTGTCCCCCTCAATCTTTTGATGCTGACGACGCCAATGTCACCCACAGTTCATTCTACTTGTCAATGTCATCCACCCTACCTTGACTATTCAAACATTTTGAGCGGCGGTTTATTCCGTTTCAGTAATATTCATCTGCGGTGAAAAATAGTAGTCTATTTGGATTCAGTACGGTACGTAAAATACTACGCAGAGGATACGGGTCCGGTAACCGGACGTGGATTAGGCATCCGGCAGTTACTGTCATAACCTAACCTAACCAACCAAACTTGCTGATAATGAAATAAACCGAATGAAGGTTGAATTCTGTCCATAAAAAAAATTTATAAACGCAAACAATTCAAACCAAAGATATTGTACAGTTAACAATAAACCCACACAAATATGGACATTAGGCCTAGGACATAAAAATGTTCTTTCCATTTACGATAACCCAACCTAACATAACCGCCGCAAAGCGCTGTATATCTGTAGCCTCCGGATAATACTTACCAAAGTACCGATTTGAACTTTGAATAACTTTGTTATCACGGCAGTATGGTAATAGCCTCCAGGGTACACAACTCTGGTCTCTCTATATCTCTCATCTGCAGTGATGTCGATGGCAATGTCGTCCAGAAGGGTTAGTCCTCTTAACTTATTGGTTCAAGACAATAGGGTATTTAAACTAGAGACCAATTTGGGCTCAGGTCAAATTACAGCCTTTGCTCCAGGATCATCTATAAAATTAACATTGAAGTCATCAGCAATGAATGATATAATCCAAGACTAGTCTTACACCAAATACAAACCTCTCTAGAATATTTTACAGCACTTAAGTTTACGTCCTACTTACACTCATTCCAATGAATATATTTCTTTAATACTTTCTTTCTTAACTTATTACTTGGCGACCATACAAAGTAGGTATTTTAAGCCAAGTATGAATGGAGATAAGTATAGGATGAGTGGCGCGATCTTGTAGTCTTGTTAGTAACTAAAAGACCGACATTCCTTAGACACAGCTGTTAATTAATAGCCCATACAGCTAATGGCAACTAAGGGACCTACAGTTTATAGTGGAATCCGAACCACATTATTGCCTTGGTATAGGCCTAACTTATACGAATTGGTCTAATTATCAGGATAGTAGGCCTACTGCGGAGAGTCGTAGTAAGTACTCACTCGTGCGGACGTTAATCCACACCAGGGAGTATCGAATCCACAGTGCATGCCTATAAATATCCACAATTCGTGACCTACTAACTTAGTAGCTGGATTACAGGACGACGCCACACGTCCCAGTCATAAGTTATTGATTATTTCATTCGATAAACTTAGGCCTAATCCTATATCAAGTTTGGTTAGTTAGGGTAAAACCTAACCTAACTAAAGGAATGCAATATTCAAAATACTAAATAGTCTATGTATTTAATATCTTTCATTTGAATAAATGTAGGACATAGCCTAAACTAAAGTGCAGCCAAATATTTTTACATAAACAAATTCTCGAAGTTGACACTGGGTCAGTGGGGATAAGAGACAATCCTAATAGCCTAGGGATTTGCCTATTCAGACATTTGCAATAATATTGCTCTATGAATTATGATCCATAATTAATTAGCCTACGAACAAGCTGTATCTTAGGTTCTTGTTGGTATCTTACCTCTTACCTTCTTGTTGGTGACTTACCTAAGTTAGTGTCTGGTAATGTTTTTAAGTTTTTTATCCTATAAACATTATTCCTTAAAAACTATTGTTTGTAACACTCGAGTCCATCTATTTTCTTGTAAACAAGGAAAGAAATAAAAAAGATAAATATTTACAATATAAAAGTTTTAGTCCATAAATGGACAGCTTGTAGATGTCCGTCGGAATTCGGAATTCGGAATCAAATATTGCGATTGCGACTCGTGAGTTGAGGAACTGAACGATGAATTAGAACAACTCCTTTTCAAGAGTAGCTCCGAAGAACGGGTGCTTGTCGATATACTGGGACTATTTCAGTGTCGACAAAGTGAAACTATTTCATTGTCGACAATATGGGATGTCGACAATTTGTGGTGTCGATCATTTGCGACGTCGGTTATTTGGGATGTCGGTTAAGTGGGAATATTCCAGTGTCGACAAACTGGGAATAATTCAGTTTCGATCAATTTCTACGGTTGTCGATATTATGGAACCCACCCCCTCAGGCATACATACATGTATATTTTACTGTATGTAATACAGTATTGCATACACATTGCGTAAAATGATTTGTCACACTAACTTTGGAAAAAATTATGGAATAAAACTGCCATTTTGGAGACTTAACTTACACAAATTTTTTTAAGGGGTTGGTACCCCCCCAAACCACCCAGGCCCCCCGGTTCGCCCCCCTTGTGACTGTTCTAGACCCGTCGTTTTGACGGCAAGGGTAGAGATAAGGAAAATGCCAGACTGCAATAATTTCCACTGGCTCATTGGGTGTACGCTCTGCATTTTGTCATAGATAAAACATACTCGTATGTTTCATACATGGTTTCGTGTAGGCCTGCTTGGGCCAGGGAACACAGAATATGCTTTGGTGCCTTTGGTAAATTCATTGGATACAGGTGAACATACAATGGGCTTCTTCTTTGATTTGAGCAAAGCATTCGATATGGTGGATCATATGTTATTTCTTGATAAGCGTTTCTTGTCTTGGAGTGCGGGGGCTGGCACTGCAATGGTTTAGTTCATTCATTACAGGTCGGAAACAGTTTGTGATGATACAGGCAGTGGATGACTCGGGATACCTGAAAACCTACTAATCGCCTCATTGCGAGTCTGCCCGTGAAGTGCCTCAGGGGTCAGTCTTCGGTCCGGTGCTGTTCCTTGTCTTTGTAAATGATCTTCCATCATCAGTTGTTAGTTCCGGAAACATTTGCTTGTTTGCTGATGGAACGTCGCTCTTAGTTTCTGATAAAAATTTCGACGAACTCGAAATAAAAACCTTTTTGCAAGCGAGCTAAATGATGCAGTGGTTCGAGAACAACTCACTAAATCTAAATGCAAAGAAAACTGAATTTTTAAATTTTTCAATAAGTTCAGCTGAAAAAAACAAGAACAATTTCATTTTGAATGATGTTGAGCTCGAGGCAACTGATCATGTCACATTCTTGGGATTGGTGCTCGACAGAAACCTGCGCTTTTATACCCGTATTGACACTATGTGTAGAAGGATTTCTTCAGGAATCTTTCTCCTCCGCCAACTTTCTAAGTTTGCAAAATATGATGTATTAATTACAGCATATTACAAAAGTCATTTTTCCACACCTGATATACGCAGTGCCGGTGTGGGGGTGTGAGTGTGGGAAAACGTCTTTCCTCTTCCGGCTTCAGAAGAAGGCAGTCAGGATAATCTTTAGTTTGAATAGAAGAACATCTTACAAACAGTACTTTGCTTCATCACAAATTTTAACATTTCACTCAATATACATTTTGGAAACTTTGACTCTCATTAAAAATAACCTACACCAATATCAATCTTCACCTACTCATTCATATACATTACGTAACAATTCACATCTTAAATATTGCCATCTCATTCAACATCATTCAAGAGACACTTCCTTTCCAGTTTCCATTACAAGGGCATTACACTTTTCAATCTACTTCCTCCCACCCAACAGCTGGAGCCGGACTTGGTCTGCTTCAAAAGGCAAGTAAAAAAAATACTCTTGGCCAGAAGCAGTGGCGAATCCAGTGGGGGGGGGTGGCAAGGGGGTGACCGCCCCCCTCAGGCATACATATCCATATATTTTTTACTGCATGTAATACAGTAGTGCCGCGGCCGCCTTTAACCCCAGGCCGCGGCCTTCGAAGTGGCAACGTCATAAGTGGTGTTTTAACAGCTGTTTTGTTTGGAAGCAGCTAATGGTATTTTTGTATTTACGAAAGATTGATTGCTGGACTATGACAATATTGACTCGGCTTAAAATATACAGATATAGATTTTTAATTCATATTGTTTTTATATGTTTTGTATGTTTTATTTTCAATATTAAAAAAATGTATGTTCATAAATTTAAATTTAAATCAATAAAGTGCAAATTAATGAGCTGATGTCACCTGTCTGCCATGTTATCTTATAGGACATCTGTCACTAAACAACACCACTTGTGACGTTGTCAATTCTACCAGGCCGCGGCCTGTAATTAAAGGTGGCCGTGGTAGTGCACACACATTGTGTAAACTAATTTGGACAAAGAAATGGTATAAAACTGCCATTTTGGAGACTTGACTTAGTTTACACAAATTTTAACCCCAGCCCCCCTGACCCTCTGGTTCGCCCCTTGCCCCCCCTTGTGGCTGTTCTAGATCCGCCACTGGCCAAATGTTGCTACAATGTCGGTAAATGTGTCACTGATGGGTTTAATTTTAATTAAGTTTGAAGAAGGTTGTCACTCGTAAATCTAGTTTGATTGAAGCACAATTGTTTTATTTTAATTTTAGGCGTTAAGATATATTTTGTTTGACATGACTAATGCAAATATGTATTTGTTACTTTGGTTGAATAAACGATTGATTGAGTTATTAATAAAAACTGGAGCACCTTCACGCGGGTCACGAAGACAGTTAACGCAACCCACATGGCCACATGACGGCAAAATATCTAACCATTAATCTTACTTTAACATTATAAATGTGAATGTTTGTGTGTTTGTTTGAAGTTCTATCATGCATTAACTTCTGGTCGGAGTTGGCTGAAATTTTGTATGGCGATAGCTCACATTCCCGATAAACATATATACATATCCTTATTTCAAAAATCCTGTCGGGCTCCACCCCATTGGCTCTGTAGTTTCCCATGTTAACCTTTTGAGTATTCACATTTAAAAGGAACTAGTTGTTACCCACGGGGGTTTTATGGTATTAAATAGCATTACGTTTTAAGATTTACCAACCGGATGCAGCCATGACCACCTTTATCTCCATGGGATTCGAAGTGGCAACGTCGCAAGTAGGGTTGTAACAGCTGTTTTGTTTTGGAATAAGCTAATGTTATTTGTGTATTTACGAAAGCTTGGTTACTGGACTATGACAATATTGAATATTGAATCCGCTTAAAATGTACAGATATAGGTTTTTAATTATTACTAGGTGAACCTGTGCGAATCCGCACGAATAATAAATTAGGATATTATAGCAACGTCATTAGAAGTTGCGTCGTTGTATCGACGTTGGTCTTGAGCTCGATCGTTGACTATATGCGTTCTAAGTTCTTTTTGTTATTCAGTAGGGGTATTTTGCAGGACGGAGCTCATCATGTTGAAAACTTGCGCGTATGGATTAATATCAAGTTGAGTCAGTGCTGCAAGAGCCATTAGCTTTGTTAAGCATTCTTTCTTGAACAGCGGTTTCGACGTCCGTATGTATAAATTTGGGCATAAAATGTGGAATGCCCCCCTTCTGACGTTTGAAAGGTGACAATTGGGTGATAAACTGTGTCTTGCACCTTATACATGAAAGGCCCTTCACCGTTATGTTCTTCAATTTTAGCTCGAGTGCTGACCATTTGCTAGCGCAGAGTTGTACGATCTAATGTTCTCTTTGTAGTTTCTGCTCAAATGATTTGCTCCATTAAGTAGGCTCTTAATATAATAGATTTCCCATGTAGCACAGATGGTTGGGCCAACGTTGGCCAACTGTGGGACAGTTGGTCGATGGTTGGTTGGAGCTTCCACAACCAACCAACCGTTGTCCAACTGTATATCTCGTAGTTGGGCCAACCAATATTTACAACTGTGGACCAACATTGGTTCATTGTTAATGAAATACATTAATATGCATTGCTGGGTATCATACATCAAGCCAACCGTTGTCCAACCGTTTTTCACTCCGTTGGACCAACAAAAGATACTTTTGTTGGACCAACGATGGTCCATAGTTGAGTTTACACGACTTTCATTCTCTGGGTCTAGCTTTCACAACATAATTATAATAAAATATCTGGTTTTACAATACCTTTATCAGTTCCAAAAGTTTCCAAAAGTTTTTGGAACTGATAAAGGTATAGTAAAACCAGATATTTTATATATTACAGTTCCGGGGCTACAACAATGAATTTTAATAATATTATAATAATGCAAATATTTTTTTAATTAATATTCTTTAACTTATTTGCAACAATTTAAGGGACAAGAGTAATTAATCATATAACAGTCAATTGTAATAGCATTAATAATCTAACGGTAATTAATTAATCTATATTCAAATACCAGTATCCTCACTAACTCCAAAAAAAAAAATAACTACTTATGATGCCTTAACAGATTAACAGAATCATATTATACTGTGTAGTATCAAAAATGTTTGAAGTATTGCGACCATTGCAACTGTCGGCTACTCTTTCACCTCTTGAAAACTCTCTATATCAACAATCACAGATAGCTCAGTTGTAAGGTAAGAGGCTGATAAGTCGAAGGACCCGGGTTCGAGACCCGTCTGGGCCAAAAAATTTTGTTCTAGCTTTTTTTCAAAATTTGTTTTTATGAACTATTTAATCAATTTACTCAACTAATAATTATGCTTTTCGTACTAAATCTTTGTTATTTTGTGTGAAATAAAACGGTTGGTTGGATATCAGTTGTGTTATGGTTAGTTGGCCATCAGTTTTTTTGGATGGTTGGGCCATTGTTGGACAATGGTTGGCTGGAAAACAGTTTAAAGAGGTGACATTTCTACCGTTGGCCAACTGTGTGGCTCCACAATTTACCAACGTTGGCCCAACCATCTGTGCTACATGGGTTCTTGGTATGGTGGTAGATTCACTTTTCCTTTATGGCAGCAGGATAAAAATCTTTCGCCTCGTCCTCTTTGTTCTTCTTTAAAATTTAGCGCACCACATTTCTGACATTTTAATGCCATCTCGCCAAGTGAATGCTGCTGAATTCTTGTTCTTGTCAGTGTAATTTTGTAAATACGCGTTGCCACTAACTGTTCCAGCTCTTTGTCTGGGCTCCTACGTTTTGCATTGCTTGCCGTATGTTGACTCGCCGTGTCCGACCGGCAATATTTCTTTGTCGTTGGGTCCTTGGCATGTTTAAACGAAAATATAATGTAAAACTTTTCTCCCGTCGTGTCCTATAGGTAACATTTCTTTGCCGGGTTTCTAATTATTTTTAAAAACATGCAAACTGTTTACATTTCAAAACCAAACAAAACAGCTGGGATTTAACTTTTTTAAACTAATGTATTGACATCTGTTTCAGAATATAATAACATTCAAATCAATCACAATGTTATCCTTATGGAAGGAACTTTGAGGGCAGCCCACGCACTTACAAAATATTTCGAAAATCTAAAGCCAGTTTGCACATCTACACACCTAGACGAACATTTTGGTATATAATATGTGGGGTTAAATCTTAAAATAAAAAAGCCTTATTGTTCACAAAGTTTCATGTCGCGTATTAAATATATAGATTGTTTCGGTTTTCAATTCTGTATGTTTTATTTTCAATATTTTTATAAATTTATGTTCATAAATTTAAATCAATATAGTGCGAATGAATGAGCTGATGTCACCTGTCTGCCATGTTATCTTATGGGACGTATGTCACTATAAAAACAACACCGCTTGCGACGTTGCCCATTCTACCAGGCCGCGGCCTGTAGTTAAAGGTGGCCGTTGATAAGCGCGCAGCGTGATATATGGGGTGGCCGTGGTATATGTGTTACATTAGTTTTATTGTTGGAATTATTGCTTTATTGAGTTTAGTGGTTTAGTGCTTAATAAATTATTTGTGCTCTATATTTTAACAACAAAGATGTGTCGGGGCACCATCGGCCTATTGAAACGATATTTGATAGGGAGGGGGCCTAGAATTTGAGAATCAGTTTTCCCAAATTTTGACTCTCAAGGCTTAATTTTTCATAATATTTTTTTCTAGAGCTTAAATACCAAGAGCATAGTTTTGTATAAGTAGTAGCACGATTACTAGAAAAGCCCTTTTCTTCTAGTATTCGTGCATGTTGGAAGTATTCGTGGGTATAGTTCAGCTGCTTAGAAAGCGACCTCCTCCAGCATTGGTTTAGCATTAGCGCAATAGCGCGCAGGTTGTTTTCTAAGCGGTCGAACTATAGTAGCATAGATAAAACATAGTCCGTAGTAGTAACCATAGACTAACCATTTTATTAACTTAAGATCTTTTATTGGGAAAATATATAGGAATAAATAGAAATGATAAACTATCATAGATTAAAAGATAGGATTTGCAAATAAAATGACCTTAAACTAATACTAATTTCATACGCTTTTTTAGAGTCTTATTGAATTGATCCAATATCTCTGGCTTTTGCTTTCTTTTAAGTCGTGTGTTAGAACAAAAGTGCTTTAGTGCCAAATAAAATTAAGCTTAGACTATTATTATAGTACTTAGCAAAATATTGCCTGTTTATACTAACAGCGGTGGATGTCAATGCCAACACCAATATGTCCACGTCTTTTCTAACCTCAAAAGTCAAAATAATGACAAGAAGACAAACTGAATCCGGTATATGACGTCTACGCCTAGCCTAAGATACTCGATTACTTACATCAAAATCAAATCAATAGTTCTAAACTTTGAAGTTTTGAAGCCAAGCGTGAGTTTATGTGTGATGTATAGGTTCATTTTGTTTACGAATCAGTGAAATTATCTTTAGATTATAGACTTAAATTCATACAACATGGTAACCATTCTAAACTCGGTTGACACTGGACACGAAGATTTAATACATGATGCAGAAATGGATTATTATGGACTTCGTCTAGCAACCTGCTCTTCTGACAGTTCTGTTAAAATATACAATTTGAAAAACGGAACCCAGAGTTTAATTGCCGACCTTAAAGGCCACTACGGCCCAGTTTGGCAAGTTGCTTGGGCTCATCCAAAATTTGGAAATTTTCTAGCTTCTTGCTCTTATGACAGAAAAGTCATAATTTGGAAAGAAAATGGACCTGGAGATTGGGTCAAGTTTTATGAGTACAATAATCATGACTCTTCAGTTAACTCAATTGCTTGGGCCCCACATGAATATGGACTTCTGTTGGCCTGCGGTAGTTCAGATGCAACAATTTCAATCTTGTCTTGCTCTCCAGATGGTTCAGCTTGGGAGTCTAAGAAAATACCTAATGCACATACTACTGGATGCAATGCAGTTAGTTGGGCCCCAGTAACATCAACCTTACCAGGTTCAGATCCTACTAAAGCAACACCTACAAAAAGATTAGTTAGTGGTGGGTGTGATAATATGGTAAAAATATGGAAAGAAGATGGTGACCGATGGATTGAGGAGTCAAAACTAGAAGCTCATTCAGACTGGGTAAGGGATGTAGCGTGGGCACCTTCCATAGGATTGCCACGCAGTACCATTGCAAGTTGTTCTCAAGATCGAAGAGTTGTTATCTGGACAAGTGAAGATAACATTAACTGGGCTTCAACGATCCTACACACTTTTGATGATGTTGTTTGGAACGTCAGTTGGTCTCTAACAGGCAATGTCCTTGCAGTCTCAGGTGGAGATAACAAAGTTAGTTTATGGAGAGAAAATAATGAAGGACAATGGATATGTATCAGCGAAGTATCCAAAGGACAAGGGCAAATGGCAGGCAGCGAACAAAGGGCTCTGTAAAAGGTACCTATTTATTTTTTGTTGTTAGCGAATTTTCCTATAACTTAACTTAACTTAAGGAAGTAGCTATTAGGCCTACCGTAGGTAGCATGACAATAGACAATAGACAAGTTTACTAGTCATTAATTAATCCACAAGAATTACAATAGACATCGTCAATCTAAACAATAGAAACATGATTTATAAACAACTATAAAATTTAAATCCTTGTTTACAAATTGTAAATTGAAGAAATCACTTAGGCCTAATTTGTATATAGGATTAGCTTTACACCAAGAGAGCAGTTTTTTAAAAAATTCTTTTAAGGGCAATGCACGAAAATCAACTGAAAACATGTTAAATATTTTGATCCCCAAGTGGGTATGATAGTTTTGAGATCTAGACAGTCTTACCCTACTTACATCAATACAATTTCTATTCCTAGTTAAGTGGCTATGGACATTTCCTCTTAAAACATGTTTGTTTGAGTTCTTTTTCACAAAAATGGAGACTTCATATATATACAGATTAACATAACAACAGTTAATAGGCTATATACTAGATTCTATGAATAGAGATTTACCCTACAATGGTCTAATCTTTTGGCACCGGTAACAATTCTAATGACTTTTTTCTGTATCACTAACACTTTTCCAATACCTACTCCATTACCCCAAATCACTATACCAAATCTTATGATGCTCTCAAAAAACGCAAAATAGGCTAATTTCAAATAGCTATTAGTGACATGATTCCTTAAACTGCTTAATAAACATTTGACTCTGGATAACCTTGTACAGAGGAAATCAATATGATGCTGTCAAGACAGCCTATTGTCAATATATACCTAAAAGCTTAACAGAACTAAAATCACAGATGTCATGGGTTGAAACCAATAAATTGTCAGTTTTGTCAACATTTAAAAGCAAGCCATTTGTAGAGAACCACTCTGTCGATTCACCTAAGGCCTTTTCTGATAGGCAGTGCAACTGCCCTATGTCACTGTGGCTACAAAACAGTGTTGTGTCGTCCACATAGATTGTGACATCACTACAAGAAACATTAACAGATAAATCATTCATAAGTATTAAAAATAAGATGGGGCCCAAAATTGAACCTTGCGGAACTCCAAAATTAACATGAGTACTTGCGATGTAATACCATCGACCTCAACCATTTGCCTACGATTACTAAGATATGACACAAATAAATCTAATTCACAGCCTTGAAAACCATAATGAGCTAATTTGTCTACAAGAATGGGTCTATTAACACAGTCAAACGCACAACTTTATGTGATCGATACAGCCAAGGCAAAACTACGCCAGAAGTTAATCAATTGGCAAATAAGTACAGGATGATTAAATACCTTGGTCGATGTGGCAAGAGAATGAATCAAAATTGCTTGGATCGAAGTAAGAATGTTCATGCCTTCTGGTGAATCAGATATTTTTATCAATAAAAAAATAAACTGATTTAATATGCTGATGAAATTCTGTTTTTTATGGCCAAAGATGGTGATTCACTTATGCAATACAAATACGGTCTGAATGATTTTCCCAAAGCAGATGTAACCAGTTATTAGTAATATAGACTGTTTCCGTAAGATGACAGACCAATTATATGAACTCCTTTTCCCATATAGTGAAAGTGGCTTTAACATGAACAAAACTTATGAACAAGAAACAATTATTATAAGACTCCTCAAAAACCTTTTGGGCAACCTAAAGCCAACCACGTTTTTGAAGGTAGTTACGCAATCTCATATTCATTATTATGCTTATCCTCCCTTAATTTAAATAAGATTTTCACTCTATCACCGCAGTTAGCTGAAGTTACATAAAATCTCAATAGTAACCGTCGTTTCGACGGGTTACCCCTAGTTATTATACAATTCCAAATAAATACTAACTCCTCATTTTGTTATTTGTTTGTTGTAATTTTTAGGTATTGCCCGTTTTAACTGACCTTTTGAGTTATTTGGCCTAGGTCTGGTCCCATTAGGGTCGGGAGGGAGTCTACTGTATGTACTTATGCCCCTTTGTCTTAGGGACCAACTCATTTTTGACGTTTTTTGATTGTCTTCAGCTGGATTAACTTGCAGCTGTAAAATGTTGTTTATTCTAACCGTCATACTGTAATATTTCGGTACTGATGCTTTAATACTTTCTAATGAAATGGCTACCATACTAATGTAGGACCTACATTAGTATGGTAGCCATTTCATAAGAAAGTATTAAATTAAAGCATTAGTACTGGTACCGAAATATTACAGTATGACGGTTAAGGTATTTTAAGCCAAGTTTGAATAAAGATGAGTGGCGGAATCTTGTAGTCTTGTTAGTGACTAAGGCTGACATCTTCCTTAGACATAGCTGTTAATTAAATATAGCCCATACAGCCAATGGTAACTAAGGGACCTACAGTTTATAGTGGAATCCGAACCACCTTATTGCCTTGTAACTAGCAAATTCGTCTAATTATCAGGATAGTACTGCTGATAGTCATAGCGGCGGTCATAGTCATACTGGAGTTATTGGTTTTATAAAATGAGACTTCAGAATCGTATATTTCGATATATGTAGGTTTTAGTCAATTTTATGCTCATTATAAATGTTCAATCGGCGACGTCACAAAAGTTTTGGACCCGAACAAATCGAATCGGTTGTTCCCTACTGATAAGGTTGGTTGGCCACTCAGAGGGTTAACATGTACTTGAAAAAATGGTGATTCTTTGCAAGCAATGAGTGTGTAGGCTACAACTTCATTAACATTGAGAATTCAAAGAAGGTATCCCTTCTTTTGCGGTAACGAGCCTCAGGAAAGAATAGTTAGACATATCAAGCTTCTCTTATCTGTCTGTCAGCAGTGGCGGTTCCAAGGGGGGGGGGGGGGCTACAGGGGCTAAAGACCCCTGTCCCCTTGGAACCTGGAAAAATAAATGTAAACGTAAATTTCGTCCTTAAAACACGCAATGTCATAAAACAGACATCAATGTAGTTTTTATTAAACTTAATAAGAGATGGCAGGAGTAGATAAATTTTTGGGACAATAGCACAACGAATAAAACAATATTATGCTATGGAAAGTTGTACGCATCATCCAATTTTTACAGCAGTCAGCTGTAGACATGCTAGGGCAAAGGCGAGCGCTGAGCGTGCGAGCTAGGGTCTGACTAGGGGGGGAGGTACGATTGAGGCATTAGTTCAAAATTCCTCCGTGAACAGCGCTGTAGTAGAGAGCATTTTGGCAACGAAGGTTTACTAATTGCAAAAATAGTTCTGTTCATAAAATACAATTGTAAATGCATCAAATTCAATTTTATAATTTTGTTATTATAAAATTACTATCATAACCTAACCGAACTAACCAAACTTGCTGATGATGAAATAATATAGGCCTAAAAAAAGTTTATTTATAGAAAAAATAATTCTGTTCATTAAGAAATTGCTCTGAAATTAAAATTTTATGATGACTTAATAATAAAATTAAACTGCCATAACCGAACCAAACCAACCAAACTTGCTGATAATGAAAAAATCATGTTCAAAAAGTTAGTGTAATCAGCGGGATTCGAACCCAGGACTCTCAGCATATCAGCCCGGCACTCTAACCACTAGACCACCGAGGCCGATGGCTACTAACCGTATTGTTACGGTAATGGTGTTCCCTCAGCTAATGAGAAGCCCACAGCTGTCATCGTAAGCTCATCTATACCTCCCCTGAGTAAATACCCGCGAGCTAGGACGGGGAAACAGCTGATTTCCTGATGTTCCATAGTTAGTTGTCAAATTGTCTGCTAGCCACTAACTTTACACAGGCATCAATCAGCAATCAGCAGTAGCACCAGTAGCCTATATTGACTATATAAACACTAGTGTTAAAGTTTATAGTCAATGCTATTACTGAATTTGATACTATACATATTGTGACAGATCTATAAAATGGAGAAAAACGTAAGGTTAAAAAACGTGTCTACTTGCTTGCATGACATATAACAGGTGAAATGGAAGGTTTTAGGACAATTGGGCACAGTTCTAGCCGTAAGAAATTACTTTATATATAAAGTCACCAAACGGCTTTTAGGAGATATGGCTTCAGGCTTCGTAGTCTACAGTAGGCCTATGTTTTGAAATTCATGAATGTAAGTTCGTCATAGTTTGATTTTTAAAATTTCTACTTGCTCATGACAAAGACAAATAACAGGTGAAATGGGAGGTTTTTGGACAGTTGGACACAGATATAGACATTAATAATGGCTTTAGAAAGTCAGTAAACAGCTTTTAGGAGGATATGGCCGTAGCCTACAATATGTTTTGAGATTTATGAATGCAATCATCATAGTTAGTTTTAAAAATGTCTACTTATTCATGACAAATAAATGGGGAAATGGGAGGTTTTGCACACAGTTCTAGACGTTAAAACTGGCTGTAGAAAGTCACCCAACGGCTTTTAGGAGGATATGGCAGTAGTCTACAGTGTGTTTTGAATTTCATGAATGCAATCGTCATAGCTTAATTTTTAAAATGTCCATTTGCTCATGACAAACAATAGGTGAAATGGGATTTTATGGACAATTTGGCACGGTTTTACGTGTCAAAAATGGCTTTAGAAAGTCACCAAACGGCTTTGAAAATTCCAAATTTTCCCAGGGGAGGACCCCCCGTACCCCCTGCTTTATTGGAGGGTGCTCCACACCCCCCCAGCCCCCCCTTGACAAGGTTCTAGAACCGCCACTGTCTGTCAGTCTATAACCTTTTTCCTGTGACTGTGGCATTTTACAAGAGGTCAATGTGAGAATAAAGTTTTGTGGATATGCTAGGAATTGAACCTGTCTCTCCCGCACTGATGTCTGAGACGATAACCAAGAGGCTAGCAACACACCCACTTAATATATGCTATGTGCTATAAATATTGTAATGTGAGTAAAGAAAAAGTGCATAATATATTAACATTTGTTGAAATTTTTTTCAGGTGAATCATTGGGATCCCTACTACAATCACAGCTATTTTCCTTTCAGAACCAAAATTCTAGTTGATCCTGTTCAATAAAAAAATGCAAGCAAAGAAGATGATTAATGAAAACAGAGTTCAATTAACATTCATATATTTTCTTTTATTAAGTTAATATCTAGCCTATAAGGAACATCTTATTGTAAATAATTCAACATGGGGTGGAAAAAGTTTCACTGGAAAACTTTCTTGTGTAATTACTAATTATAGGTCTGACACTGTTGTTTTTATTTAGTAAAGATCTGAAAGTAGGAAACAACCAAGGGTTCATCAATTAATACTCTTTTTAAATTTGAATACAATTGTTAAGAAGATATCTTAAAGTTTCAATTAAGTTTTCCAGCTGTGTTTTCAACCCTAGCATCCTTTCTTCTATAATTAATAAAACAAGTTAACTAGCCTAGTGCTAAAATAAATCAATTATTATTATGAATATGTTTTATTAAAGACCTTAAAACTCTACTGTATTTTAAATTCGAGCAGCCATGAAAATGTAGATTCGAGTGTAGGTCTAGACAGTGTCTCTTGTTCTAGACCTACACACTGAACCCGCAGCCGCGCCGTGATCATCAGTGTTTTTGGTTGGCCATAATGTTTTATTTATTTGTAAAAATGTGTGTTCCTGTCTCGTGTTCATGTTTTGAAGACTTCTTGACGACCTCCTAGGAGCTAGAACAGAACTCAAAGGCTTGACAATGACACCTTGAGTGTCGAAACCGGTCGCTATCCAGACGATTAATAGATTACGTTGGCAAAAAAGGTATTTTTTTAACGTCTAGAATATATTGTTAAAAAGTAATCTGAAAGGCAACACCTAAAAAATGAAAATTCTTTATTAACACGTTTGCTGCGGCCCACGAAATGGCAGGCGTGGTCTCAGTCAGTGCGGTGTAGCACCAAACAAACCCATTTGGCTTTCAAATATTTCGGTCTGACGAATAGTAAGTGATGTGCGGTGATGTGCTGTGTTACGACGAGAGTCCACGTAGTTTGCTAACACTCACAGATAGCAGCACTGCCTGGAACTAGCCGGTCCCATTGTATTGCCAATTGAAGGGAAAAAGACGGAACAACAAGTTGATATCGAAGCTTGCCAGAAGGGGATTTTGCGGAGAAATTTACTACCAACCTATACCACAATAAAGCTCTTATTCCTAGCTAAACACAGACATAAAAATACCCGTTCTTCCCGGTGTACTGCAGCCTAGATATTGAATGGAATGTAGGCGATGCAATCACTCACCAGTGAGCGTTCAGCGTGGCAGAAAGGAACTAGAGCACTCGCCGGTGAGTGGCCCGCAAACGTGTTAAGTATTAATATGTTTTTCTTTCAGTTTTAATTTGAACTTGCACTTTGGACAGGTTTAAAGAAATTATACATCTAATCAAAGTTAATTTATTTAACTGTGTACCGATAACAGTAGTAAAATAAGAATATATTACATTATTTACACAAGATATTAGTATAAAACTTATTGCCCTCTGACTAAGACTTTTACCATTCTTTTGTTATTTAGCAAATACTGTAAAAATGTAGAACACTCACGTATAGTAAGCGACCTAAGCATAATAATATAGAATGTAACAAATTACTTAAAGGTTCAACATTTAGTTCAGAATTGTCTTTATCCATAAATAATATAAGTACAGTTCAGTATCACAAGTTTTGAAAGTAACAAACAAACAAGTTAAGAACAAACAAAGTTAAGAACAGTTTGGGTAAACTAGGTTACTGAGTATATAAACTAGCAGCAAACACAATGTCTCTCTTGATGAGATCCTTGACTTCTTCCATTTTATTCTCGAGCATGCGATCTCCCACCTGAGCCGCGGCACCCTTGACATAGTTCAGAGTTTCACTCAATTGTTGTATACATCGGACTATGATTCCTTCCTGCACATCTGTCAACTTCATTATCTCTGCAAAAGGCTGGAACAAACAAATGGCATGAGATCATCACACATATACATCGATATATAACTACTGGATCGGCAGGCCTACTAGACTGCCCAAGTCGCCAGCGGAGGTTGCGTTCTAGGCATTAAAGGGGTACGGTGGTCAAAAGCACCCCACAGCGTATTGCTTCTGTATTGTCGCAGCACATGTTAAAATAGTATATTACGTTACTAGTCCTGAAAACAAGTGTTTGCCGGACAAGTGTGGTCGTTCCCGGGATTACCATACGAGTCCGGTAAACACATTTTGGACGAGTGACGTACGATAGTTTACGCCATACTACTAAATCTGTACAAATCCTTATATATTACCCCCAACTAAAGGACTAAAAATCACTAGTCATAACCTCTAAGAGAGGTTATGTTTTTGTTTATAATATTCATTCATTGTCACCTAAATACAGTATAATCAGCTGATTGGTGTCCGGCAAAACTCATTACAGTACAGTAGTACGCAATGAAACCCCATTTGAATAAGCTGGCGGCAAACAGCTGGACTAAATCCTTGCGTGGGAACTTCGTCAAAATAGTGTAGTGTGGCGTAAAAGCTGTTTTCACCTTATACAGTATACAAGTTTTAACAGAATTTTGCTGACAAAAAATCTATCTTCTTGACATGCCCAATAACAATTAAGAGTAATTTGTAAACATAATAAAGTACTCTACCACTTATTCTTAAGGCTTTCATCTGTGAATCACAAGATATTGTCCATAAGCAAGGTTTTGCTTGGTAAAAAATTTGAAAACTGAGGGTTTTCTTACTATTACGTATATTATTTTGTGTGATATGAAAAAATAAAAACAGATTACATGCAAAATAATAAGTGGTTTAACTGATATAATTGCCTTTAAAACATTTGCTAAACACTTGCACAATTTACAGGGTACAAAACTAAACTATCTTTATACATTTTTGCCTGAAACCTAAGTTTAATTTTTAGTCCTCCCTGCCGTTTCCATCTTTGTGAGATGATGGGACAATATCTCAAATAAATGCAAACGTATTTTGTCACCATCAGAGCATGTGATGCTTGAAGTTCGTCATTGGTATATGATCTCTAAAAATTTTGTTGATACAATGATTACAAACATGCATAGTTAACTTAAGGTTGTCATTAGAGTCCCTCATATTACAATTTAGTTTTGAAGGCAAACTTTACTATTACTAGTTAAACGCCCGTGCTCCGCCACGGGAATATTGTCAGCAATAAAAGAAATAATAATTAACAAAAACTGTTTAGCTTTGTATTTTATTTAGGGGTTGTTTAATTTTGTACATGAAATAAAACTGATAGTTTGCCTGTATAAACTATTTTATGTTAATCAAACCGATATATTATTTTAACCGAATGTTTTATATTAATTCGAGTTTCATTTGAAAAATAAATAGTATACGAACTAGGCAATGCTGATAACCTAATAAGCAGCTATTTATGATATTAAGATAATTTGCTCAAGTATATTCCTATATTCGTCGTTGTTTTTTTTTTCATTACATTTGTTGTATGGAATAAAGATAGTCACTTAGCCTACATGTAAATCACGCATCAGCAGTTGGTCGCATTTCACGAATCTTTGACCCATACTGTGAGTAAAAGCTGTGTTTACGTCGTATATATAAAGTTGGGCATACTTTGTTCAATGTTAGAGGGTATTAACGGTCCAATTTGATGGAAAAGGAGTGGATTTTAAAACTATGTAGACTACCACTACCAGAAAGATGTTGATTCAAGTGAGACTTAGAACTGGCTATTTCAAATGCAGATTTGTATTATATTTTACTCAAATAGTTTTTTGTCTCTTTTGACCCTTAATACTTTTTTTATAGTCGCTGTTGATAAGATTTTCCATAAACTCAAAATGTTGATAAGGAGCTCATTTTACCTTCCCCTTGTGACAACATAAGGAAAAATATATTTGTGTCCCAGTTAGTCTGTTGTGACTCAAAATTCTTAGATTTGCAGTAAACTGGATGTGTGCAGTGAACTTGAAACTGACAAATCCAATCTAACGACCCCAATTAAAAAAAAATTGGTATTTTTAGAAGGGACTTCCAGAGCACATTTAACACCATCACTGCTCTTTACTTTTTTAGTTCGATGGTTCTCTACATGTTTTTCTCGTTCTGTATGTCTCTTTACGCCCGGCTAATGATTACCTTTTCTTTTTCTTTTTGTACTTTTCACACCCTGGGGTTAATGATAAAGTTTTATAACGCTATAATGACCCGAGTCAACATTGCCATTAAACATCAAGTCAGATACTTCTTCGCCAGAACCGAAATCTTAAGTCACAGTTTCTCAAGCAACTTCCCTGTGTAGGCCTACTCGAACAAATATAGTTAGGGTATAGTTCACTGATAAATTGTAATTTCAAATATCCCAGCGTACTCGCCATCTCGAGAAGATAAAGTTTGGTACCACTGACCGTCTAACACTGATCTTGAGTAAGATTCGTCACCTACTATAAAATGTTTGTATGTTTCCCACTCATTAGCAATTATATGTACAACTTGCAAGCGGATTTCCCCATGATTATTCTGGTGGCCGTAGAGAATAAATTATATTGATCAAAACAATAAGTTTCCGTTCCCTACTATGGGTATTATTTCACATTCCATACTCAAACTTAAACTCAATTACCACTTTCCTTCAGATCACTTTGCAGGAAAACTAAAACATTTCAAAAATAAGTTAACAAATACACTTTCCTTGATCAAAATCGTGTGTTTATAAACAGAAACTCCAAGTTTAATAATTGCATACTGAAAGTGAGGTTATAAAAATAATAACAAATGTCTGACAAACATTAAACAGCTGACGAATAATTTATAAATTGTGTATTATATTCTTCAATAAGAATCGTATTGACTCGACCTTTAAAGGGCTGTAGGTCGTAGCCCTTAGAAAAAACGTAAATTTTAAGGAAGTTCGGCAAATCTACACACTATCCCCTTTAATTTGATACATAAATCTTGTAGATCGGTCCAGTAATTACTGAGAAAACAGTGTTACAACTGTGTATTAAATATATAGAAGATTAGTACATTTTTATTTGCCAATCAATTTACCCTTTAAGTTAAAAGTACCTGGGGACCGAGCTTTGCTCGGGGAAAATTATTACTTTACTCTGAAAAGTATTGCAGATACATTAATCCACTCCCAATCTCCACACTGCTAACCTTCACTACTTATTTCACCACTCCCTACGTCGTGGACCTGTTTGCCCTCCTTTCCTATACCATTTTAGAATTGCAGATACATAAATGCCACAGACAGTTCCCACACTCTGCACTGCTAGCATTACTACTTCCTACACCATTTCCTACGTCATGGACCTGTTTTCCTCTCCTCCCTTCTCGTAGCATTTTAGGATTGTAGATACCTTAATGTAGTTCCCATAAACAGTTCCCAGGCTCCAGACTGCTCGCCTTTACTACTTCCTTCACCACTTCCTACGTCGCGGACCTGTTTCTCCCCCTTCAAATGGCATTTTAGGATTGCAGACACCCTAATCTAATCGTCATTAACAGTTCCAACACTCCGGGCTGCTTGCCTTTACTACTTCCTTCACCTCTTCCTACGTCGCAGACCTGTTTCCCTCCATTCCCATAGCATTTTAGGATTGTAGATACCTTAATCTAATCGTCATAAACATTTCCCACACTCCGGACTGCCCATCTTTACTACTTCCTTCACCACTTCCTATGACGCAGACCTCTTTCCATCCCTTCCCATAGGATTTTAGGATTGTTGATTCTTTAATCTAATCGTCATAAACAGTTTCCACACTCCAGACTGCTCGCCTTTACTACTTCCTTCACCACTTCCTACGTCGCGGTCATGATTCCCTCCCATCCCATAGCATTTTAGGATTGTAGATAACTTGATCTAATCGTTATTAACAGTTCCCACACTCCGGACTGCTCACATTTACTATTTCCTTCACCACTTCCTACGTCGTGAACCTGTTTCCCTCCCTTCCCATAGCATTTTAGGATTGCGGATTCCTTAATCGAATCGTCATAAACAGTTTTCACACTCCAGACTGCTCGCCTTTACTACTTCCTTCACCACTTCCTACGTCCCGGACCTGTTTCCCTCCATTCCCATATCATTTTAGGATTGTAGATTCCTTAATCTAATCGTCATAAATAGTTTTCACACTCCAGACTGCTCGCCTTTAAACAGTTTCCACACTCCAGACTGCTCGCCTTTACTACTTCCTTCACCACTTCCTACGTCGTGAACCTGTTTCCCTCCCTTCCCATAGCATTTTAGGATTGCAGATTCCTTAATCGAATCGTCATAAACAGTTTTCACACTCCAGACTGCTCGCCTTTACTACTTCCTTCACCACTTCCTACGTCCCGGACCTGTTTCCCTCCATTCCCATATCATTTTAGGATTGTAGATTCCTTAATCTAATCGTCATAAACAGTTTTCACACTCCAGACTGCTCGCCTTTACTACTTCCTTCACCACTTCCTACGTCGCGGACCTCTTTCCATCCCTTCCCATAGGATTTTAGGATTGCAGATTCCTTATTCTAATCGTCTTAAACAGTTTCCACACTCCAGACTGCTCGCCTTTACTACTTCCTTCACCACTTCCTACGTCGCGGACCTCTTTCCATCCCTTCCCATAGGATTTTAGGATTGCAGATTCCTTAATCTAATCGTCTTAAACAGTTTCCACACTCCAGACTGCTCACCTTTACTACTTCCTTCACCACTTCCTACGTCGCGGACCTGATTCCCTCCCTTCCCATAGCATTTTAGGATAGTAGATAACTTGTTTTAATCGTTATTAACAATTCCCACACTCCGGACTGCTCACCCTTGCTACTTCCTTCACCACTCCCTATGTCGTAGACCTGTTTGCCCTCCTTCTTTATACTATTTCAGAATTGCAGATACATAAATGCCACAGACGGTTCCCACACTCTGCACTGCTAGCATTACTACTTCCTACACCATTTCCTACGTCATGGACCTGTTTTCCTCCCTCCTCGTAGCATTTTAGGATTGTAGATACCTTAATGTAATTCCCATAAACATTTCCCAGACTCCAGACTGCTCGCCTTTACTACTTCCTTCACCACTTCCTACGTCGCGGACCTGTTTCCCCCCATTCCCATTGCATTTTAGGATTGTAGATTCCTTAATCTAATCGTCATAAACAGTTTTCACACTCCAGACTGCTCGCCTTTACTACTTCCTTCACCACTTCCTACGTCACGGACCTCTTTCCATCACTTCCCATAGGATTTTAGGATTGCAGATTCCTTAATCTAATCGTCTTAAACAGTTTCTACACTCCAGACTGCTCGCCTTTACTACTTCCTTCACCACTTCCTACGTCGCGGACCTGATTCCCTCCCTTCCCATAGCATTTTAGGATTGTAGATAACTTGTTTTAATCGTTATTAACAATTCCCACACTCCGGACTGCTCACCCTTGCTACTTCCTCCACCACTCCCTATGTCGTAGACCTGTTTGCCCTCCTTCTTTATACTATTTTAAAATTGCAGATACATAAATGCTACAGACGGTTTCCACACTCTGCACTGCTAGCCTTACAACTTCCTTCCCCATTTCCTACGTCATGGACCTGTTTTCCTCCCTCCCATTACATTTTAGGATTGCAGATACCTTAATTTAATCGTCATAAACAGTTCCCACACTCCAGACTGCTCGCCTTTACTACTTCCTTCACCACTTCCTATGTCGTGGACCTGTTTTCCTCCCTTTCCATAGCATTTAAGGATTGCAGATACCGTAATCTAATCGTCATAAACAGATCCCACACTCCACACTGCTACCCTTGACTATAGAATCTAGTAATCTTCAGTATAATCTTTGCTCAATAGTAACAACTGATGTTTTTCCTTTTGTACTGTATTTTGTTTTGCTAGTATACTGTGGATAGACAAATTACAAGCTACAAGTCTTTTGTTTACTTTTTCCTTGTTATTTAATTCAGCCAACATGGTTACCTAGCAACCCATAAGACTAATGTTAAAAAAATGTGATTTTCAATTTCATTTTACTACGTAATTAGATTTTTGATGGCAGTTCTAATTGCAGTAAACTCGTTTTTAGGCCAGAAATAAACTATATACAACATTTGAAGAAAATCGTCGGAGCCGTTTTCGAGATCTTGGTGCAAGCATACATACATACATACAAGCAAACTTTGCTCGTATTAGAGTATAGGATATGTGAGATTTGTGTGCGGCCTCACACGGAGAACCAGAAAAAAGTCTTAACAAGACATAATTTTTCAAATTTTCTAACTATATCACCACAAATATAATAAAAAACATCTTCTTTGTAGATCCATAATTATTATATTTGCACTTCGCAGCGTTATCTATGTCAGCCTCATTAAACAACTGTGGGTCTGGCTTAAAGTCTAGACAGTTGTGTTTTGATGGGCACATCATACTTCTTTTGGATATTAATAATTCCCAGATTCACATTTCATTAGGTTTATTATTATTTCCCCCTCATCTTATAACACAAGAAAAATAGTTCAAGATGATATTGGCTCGCTTTACATGTAAGTAGTTTCTTAAAACTACTACTGAGACACTACCCCTTAACATGTTGATACATAATATTGAGATGTTTGACAGAAATCCTAACACAAATTTGATTTTGCATCTCCTGTAATAGTTGCCTTCCAATTAGTTCTTAACTTTACCGTTTTCCATATTTTCTAACTTATTGAGGAGACCCATGAATCACTTAGCTAAGAAGTCTCTAATACAGGGTGTTTTTAAAAGAATGCTGGGATTTTAAATGATGACAAGCTGCCATACCCGTGCTTTGCAACAGGAAGAACATGTTACCTAGCCTAGAGAGCTATTAAAGTGGTGCTGATGTGTGTTTTAAAATACATACAGCAACTCTATGATTTAGTTTGAAAATATAAGCTGATTTAAAAGCGTAAACCTACTTGCTTTCAAACCCCTACTTTTGATGTTAATAGAGATCCCTAAGAATATGACAACATACCTTAGTGTAGCAATAGCATCAATTATTGCTTCATATTGATGCTTTTGCTTTATGAATGACATGTTTTACAATTTTCTTCCATTTTATCCAAGCTTCTTCAAATGTAGATTAGGTACTGTACCATATAAATTAAAAAATGGAGCTTTGAGCAATACTTTACAAAACGTATACAACCTCACCTTAAAACCAAACATAACCCTCCTCAATCTACATAAAGCGTCACAAACATCTTATTCGAGTAAATAAACAAACGCCAGTTCATTGTACTGGCCAGCTGTTTCATTAACTAAATTAAATTAAATCATGTAAACATTGGAAGCATGCCAGGAGCAGCCCTTTGGAAATTAGCCTGTGGGGCAGAGCCCTTTGGAAATTCGTCCATATCAACACTTTTCGGCAAATCTACACACTCTAAGCTTCATTTTGATGTTCCATATGCCTATATTTTTATTTGGTAAATGGCCTTAACCGTTTACATAAAATTTGATTGTATCATTTTAATATTATAATAGATTGTTTGGGTACTATTCAAGCTAACTAAACGTGTTATACGTCAAATTGAAGCTAAAATAACTTAAGTATACGTTAAATAAGTTTTGTTTCCCTTGTAGCAAGGGAGGAAACTTTGACCTTGGCATGTGCAAAACAGGTGCGCGGTGGTAGGCCGCTATTGTGACTCATACGCCTGACGCCAGTCGCCACGACATTACGGCGCAACAGAAGGCACAGATTATAATCTGTGGTTCGCAGATTTTATATCAATTGCTAAATTAAACAAAATTTAACTTATATCTACTTGATGATAAAGAAACTTGAAGCTGGTTTAATGAGTTTTGTGACACCGAAGTGTTTGAAAAGACATTCACCTGGCCAGCTAAAAACAAGCAATGACGTAGTCGAAGAAATCTGACAATTCTGCATCAAAAGCCCGAAAAAATCTATTGCCCAACGAAGTCCTCAGTTGAACCAGTTGAACAAACCTTAATTGTTCACTTTATGATGTTATCTATGAAAATCTGATTTTATTGAATCATTCTGAATTGTATCAAAGAATGAGAAAATTTTATTTTTTCCCTTCAATTTGACGTTTAAATCATTTAATTAACTTTGAATAGTCCCCGAGCAACGACGTTTGAAATCCCAGCATTCTTTTAAAAAACCCCTGTATTTATGTAATCAAGAGGATTGTCTTAAGTCCAGACAAATTTTACGGTAGGTAAAGAATCAAAGAACTGTGGGCGTTTTATAGAATTCCAGAATCGTAATACACAAGCTAAATAAAAACTTATCGTTTAAGAAGCAATCTTTAGCCTTCAACTAATTGTCAAGTTTTTTAAGGATTTGTCTTAGACATTTTGTTTGATAATAATGTCTTTTATGTTATGTGTACCCTGACGATGCCCAGTGGCGGATCTAGAACAGTCACAAGGGGGGAGGGAACCGGGGGGTTCAGGGTAGCCCCCCCCCCCTGAAAAATTTGTGTAAACTAAGTCACCAAAATGGCAGTTTTATACAATTTCTTTGTCCAAAGATGATGTGATAAAGAAACACCCCTTTCGCCACCCACTCTGGATCCACCACTGACAATGCCGAATTAACGGTGAAACATGTAGTGGTCCACATCAGCAACATTTGGATTACTTGACGAGGTAATTATACCACAATATTAAGTCATTTATCCAGGAGCCATCAACATGGAATTTAATGATATTTTAAATAGGCTACAACTGACCTTATTCGCTAGGGGGTAAATCGGTAAATACTACAATTAACCTTATGCTACACAAGGAGTGATGAGAGAAAAAGGTGTTGGTTGTTCACCATCTGGAATGTGGATGAGATGTCAAGACACCTTGACAAGTTTTTACTTTAAGGCATGTGCTGAATGGCTCATAAAAATTTTTTTCGAGTCTGACTTAAGGGAGGTAAAATTGAGGCAACGATGACATAGTTTAGTTCAAAATTCCTCCGTTAATAGCGTTGTAGTAGAGAGCACAGCGCGTAATTTTTACTTCACTATTAGGCCAAGTTAATTATAAAATTAAGAAAAATTATAAAATTAATCTTAAAATTTATCAATTATTAAATTAAACTGTCATAACCTAACCAAACGTGCTGATAATGAAAAAATCAAATGAAGGTTTACTAATCTAAAAATAGTTTTGTTCACAAAATAAAATTATAAATGCCTAAAATTCAATTTTATAATTTTTTAATTATAAAATTTAACTGTCATAACCTAACCAAACCAACCAAACTTGCTGATATGAAAAAAAATTGTTGACAAAAAGTTAGTGCAGCCAGCGGGATTCGAACCCAGCACCTTAGGATTATCAGCCCGACATACTATCCACTAAACCACCGAGGCCGATGACTGAATTCCGTATCGTTGCGGTAATGGTGTTCCCTCAACCAGATCTGACAGCTGACAGCATCGAAGGCTCTTCTGTACCTCCCTTGAGTAAATACCAAATTTGTCGCTTATTTTGTTGCTAGAACTATTACATTATAAATATTCTGTGAATAGGATAATTATTGATCAATATCTTTCAACAGGAAATATTTCTATGTGAGGTGGTAACAAAGATAAAATAAAACTTAAGCTACAATAAACTTACAATACAACATAACTTACCTTGTTGGAGGCCCATTCATAAACAACTTCTAGTAACCCAAAATTAAGTTTATCAAATTCACTGGAATCGTCGAATGTGCCTATATGACACTCTCTCTCCATCTGGATCAATTCTTGATTCACCTTTTCAATTTCTTTTCTTCCCTACATGTAATGAAAAAAAATTAGAAAATATTTTGGCACAATGAAAGTTAGAAATAAGTTCCAAGTTTAAAATTAAATAAATAAATATGTAATGAAATGCAATGTTTTACAACAGGTGAATTCCATGGCATAGCTAATTTCTTGGTCCATTCCTTTAAAGTATTGTTACTGTACGTGAAGGTTCGCCTGTAAAACCCAAAATATTTAATAATAACAAAATAAAACAAGTGGGAATTCAGCAGGAGGAAGAAATGTACACAAATATTTCCATTTATGATGGAAAAGTACATTTATCATGGAGCAAACTTGAATTAATTATTTAAAGAATCTCATGATTTCCCTTTTCTTTCCTGTTACTTTTTTCCCCCTCAACTGCAAATCGCAACTAACTAAACTTTGCTCAAGAATCTCTTGTTACAGTAATTTATTCTGTTAAACAAATTTGAAGAAATTACCTTTTCCAGAAAGTCTGGTCTGAGTTCTTCTTTTGTCTTGGCCTGAAAGACAAGGCCCGATAACAAAGCAGCTATCTCTGTCGGCTGCATGTCGGTGAGCACATTGCGGAACACTAGCTCCGTAATCATCAGCTCATTGGTACCCATGCTTGTAGCAACTTTCCCTTTCATTTGCACTGAAATGTTAACAGATTTAAGCCACATATATCTAGTGGACACAATAACAAATTAGCTTACAATTTTCCTTTTTGTAAGCATTAAGCAATTCTGTTTTACAGATGTGACATTTATTTTAAAGGGTTAATTGAAGAATAATTTGTTCCAAGACAGTGCAAAGTAGACAATCTTTTTGACTATAAAGAATACTCCCACTTACTACTATATATAGTCCCATCTACTATATATAGAACCAAGTAGACTGCCAGAAATTACGACAGTGTCATGACATCTCCGTTGTCTCTCTAATCTACCACCCAAAGTATATCTAAACCTGTATACTTTAAATTATGTACAATACTCAACAAAATCATTATTACCAACTACCTAAAGAGATAAGTGAGCAAGGTTAAGGTTAAGCATTACAGTAGTTCTGTTGCTGGATCATCAAACAGCAGTTGTTAAACTTGTTATTTCACTATCCACCGACCCTCCATAAAACATCAACCTAAGCTTTTATAAAAGAAGGAGGATTTGCCCTCAGGGGGGAGATGTTAAATGTTTTGCCCCGATTGCCGAAGACGATAAAGAATTTTTCCAAGACCGTAGGATTCATTTATGATATTTCTTTCATCACGGTAGATAATGATAATGTTTTGCAATACAATAATACAATACAATACAATATTCTTTATTGAGCAATCATCAAGAATTACAATAGTGTCAATACCCTTATTGCAGGAGATGTCCTGTATTTTGTGGTATCAGTGATACCATTCAAGTGTACTAGCCCAAAAGAAAATTAAATTAGACTTTTTTATTTCAGTAAAAATTATAAAAATTTCAAGGCCACAATATTTTCAAGGTTTGTTTTCTTAGGTAGCCTGAAACAAGGTTTTCAGATCAAATAACCAATACCCAATCAAATAGTTACAGGTCAGTAATTTTATAGGAATAAACCTACCAACATTATCAGCATTTATGTACTTTAACTCCTGTAAGAACATGAGTTTGTTTTGGAAGTCTGGGAATAGAGATGAACTCTGGGCGGACAATTTGTGCTTTATTTGCCTAATTTGTCTCTCTAGATCCTTGCGATAGAATACATCCAAGAACTGAAACATACCATCTAAGTTAAGTTAAACATTTTTGCAATATATATTTTTGTCTTACTGCAGTGATAAAGGTTATTTTTAATACATGTGTTGTGGGTAAAACAAAGTAAAGCTGGGTTTTCCTATGCGTGGAAGTGGAGCTTGAAGAGAGGAACGCGGAGATCGGAGAAGCGATTAACATGACGTTACGCTCCGCTTCTAGGAAAACAGTAACATTAAATTACCTAAGACAAGAGGAGTCTGCTCTCCGCATTCCTCTCTCCGGTTCCGCGCCTAGGAAAACCCAGCTTTACTACTTTTCTACCAAGGGCGAAAAAGAGCCATCTTGAGTCAAGTATATCAGCCTTACATTTTGATGGCTGTAAAATTTGTCTGCTGCTTTTCCCTCCCAAACTAGTATCTTGTTTCAGGGGTCGGGAAAAGGACCTAAACCTGGGACCGTTTTAGTTTTTTGTTTGGATGTCCCCAGATGCATAAAACACTTTTACTTGATTTTTTATATGTCAGTAAGTGGGATAATATTATCATAGACTAACCAACATAAGTAGACTTCTCATCCCATTATACATTTTGAAGCTTGTTTTTCGTGTCCAGTACATGTACGGTGGTGACACTGGGCGCTAGTGTTGAAGAAATTTTGTTTCTATTATTTTAAGGTTAATTTCATGATTTGAGCTTTACTGTTTTTGGTTATGTAACTAGGGGACGAGTTATTTTTTATGATTAGATTGTATTATTTGGTTAAACAAGGTTTTAAATGACTGAAATAACAAGAAACAAATTGGAAACAAAACTCAACCTCTACAATGCACCATACAGAACAACTAACAATAAAATTGGCTTCAGCTGTTCGATAAGGATGAGAAATCTACTAAGGGAATATGTTTTATCTGGACGAATTATCATTATCCAGTTTTTTCGAAATTCGGGGCAAAGATAAATCAACATTATTTATCCGAAAGAGTTTTTGAACCAGCATGGTCCATGAGTATGGGGTTTTACAGCAGTAAAAATAGTTTTTTTTTACTTAATTTTTTTACCTTCAAAACATATATACTTCTTTCTTAGCTATTTTTAGATCTAAAAAAAAAAACCACAAATAAAATAATTTCACATATTGAAGTGCTGTTGGTTACAGAGAAATTAAAAGAAAAAACTGTAAATTTAGAATGTATATCTTAATCTTATGGAGAATAAGTTTGAAATAAATTTATGTATCTCTTTATGAGCAAATTTGTTACTGTAGGTGAAATATGGAATAACATTATGGCGCACAAAAATTTAATAAAAAAATGTATTAATTGTAAAAGTGTTTTATGTAGGCCTAAGTGCAAAATCTAGAATATTAAAACGAAACAGTGTTTTTTTATTTCACGATTCTGAATCAACCACTCGACGGATTTTCATGATTTTTGTGTTGAAAGAAAGATAATTTTGAGAACTAGGGAATGTCGAAGCCATAATTTTAGTTTAGGGACCCAGTTTTTTTGAAATTAAGTTTTAATTTTTAAAAAGTCTAGCAGCCGACGCTAAGATTCCAAACTAGCTTTTGGCATAAAATAATTTGCTTAACATAACAGCTGTAAACATTCAGCTTTTGTGTCACAAATTCAGCATTTGGATAAAAATGTAACGACAAACTTAGGGTTGACTTATTTATACTATGTGTAATGCTAATCATTGTTACGTTCAATTCTTCTGTAAGAGGATGACAGATTAATTAAAGTATACATAGTAAAATACTAGGATGTTCGAATTATTTTTTAAAGCAATCTTTGTAATCTTCGATTTGATTTAGAGCAATATAATTTGTTTTAACTAACAGCTGGTTAAATATAAACTATGGAACTATGAGGTTATTTTATTTACTCTTATTTTGTCATTGATTATAGGAAATAAGTAAGATTAGTAGAGATTATTAGACCACAGTTTAAAATAGTTTAGACCAAAATTAATTAAACCACAGTACAAATCGAGGCTCTGTACACAAGTCTTAATGAAAAAGATAAATGCAAATTATTTTACTGCTCCACTTTTCAAGGAAAGAATAGAAAATTAACAATGTTTACATGTTTTAATTCTCCATGGTAGCTTTTTGTTTACAATTAATGTTTGTCTGCTTTAACTTTGTTTGGATTAGGCCCGGAAATATTGAAGTCATAAAAAGAAGATAATAGTCAGGAATCACGATTTTAAATTACCACCACAACCTCAGCCGGGTTTTATACAAAGATAAACAGGTGGATGACATAGATTGAACACAACGTCAACATTGACCTAGGATACTGCAATTAGACAAACCATCCTTTTTATGAAATCGTGTTCAGTTGTGGTTACGTTTGCCTATATCAGCGCCCCCAAACGTAAAAATTTCACTTTTATTTCAACTATGAATATATTGTAGTTTAAATTAACTAATATGGGAAATTACTATGTACATTTATTCAATGAGGGTGGGTAATTATCAAGGATAGAACTGATAACGATATGGATAATAAACATTGACAATTACGTCATTAGCTTTACTAGCGTGTTTACTTTTTATACTCCTGCTACATGTGACCAGTTGTTTTTTTCAAATGAATGTTATTTGAACCAAACAGCTGTTTCAAAACAAACTGTTATTGTTTTAACTTTTCTTTGTTTACACTTATTTATTTAGCAATTAATGCAGTGAAATTGATATAAAGGATAGGTGTGACGATTAGTTTTGATGTTAGGACACCAAAGTTAAATTATGTGTACTAGTGTACTGTGAATTTTATTGGATATTATCGTTTTTTTAGGTCGTTTCTATTCAGACCTACTGGAAATTGTGTATAGTAGTTGTATTGTGGTGATAATAATTATGGAAGAGGCAGGTATGCTATGGAAGGAGGTATCGTTGACTTGGTCTATACACTTCTCAATTGACTATTACTCTCTCTACTGTAGGCTACTTATAATCAGTGTGCGTCTGAGCGAATCGGCTGCAAATCTCACTTCAACGCTTTTCACATCGTAAAAATTGCAGAATGCAAAATGCAGAATGAAAATGCTGTTTTATTGTAAAATTATCGGATTTGAGATGGAATAAAAACATATTTGGTCACACAACATTTGTTTACAAGATGATTGTTCACATTAAAATTGCAAGAAACTTCGTCTTTATATGTGTAAACTAGCTAATCTGAAATGTACATGGTTTTAACTGACTACTGAATTCCCGTACGTAGGACGGGCTAACACCTCGTAAATTCCTAAGAGCCATGACACTTAAACAGCCTGGAAGCTCATGTAATGAAGTATTTAAAAATTTAAAAATACTTGCAGTATCGTGTATCTTCATTTTTGAGGTTCTGTGTCACCTAAAAAATAATTTAAATTGTGCTCTATTGAAAAAAGTAGCCACCTTTACAATACTAGAAATCAGAGTTTACCAATATACCCTCATTATTATACAACATCTTTGGAAAAGAGTATTCATTACATGGGAATTAAATTGTTCAGTAAACTTCAAAATCAAGGGACTTAGACCTTCAGTAACACTCCCACCTAAATTGTAGCACTCTTGCCCACTAACGTACCAAGTATGTATTATATTGCAACTTACCAACTGCTGATGGTTGAGTACTTCTGTAGGTTTCAGGTTCTCCAACATCTGCTCCAGACAGTAGAGACCGTGTCTCATCTCAGCCAGGTCCAGGTTCTTGTCCTCCTTGATGTCATGCCACTTACCGTAGATGCGAGTCTCACCGTACAACGCCAACTCTTGAATGGCCGACTTGCAGGAAGGTCCAACAGGATCATTTCTTCACAAATTAAATTATTTGTTAAGTATTTTAACTTGGCTTAATTTGAGTAAGTTGTGGTTTCACACAAAAAAGCAATTACATACTTGAAGAGTACAGAATGCTTTAAGCTAAACTGAAGCTGTTGTTAAACATGCTGGATTCAAATTTTAAGTCAGTCAGCATAATTCGAAGTCGTAAACAAAATCCGTTTACTTGTCAGGCATGCCACATTAAACTAAATATGTCCAGTCAGTTGTTTAATGATTCTTTACAGTTTTTCACAAATGATATAGGCCTAATTGTTAACAGGAAAAATCCTACAAACCATTCTATAATAATTTTCATACAAAAATATACAGTATACATAGACATCCTCATTTTAGTGCAAATAGTTGTTTATGGCAGAATCAGTCTCACATACATATTTTTGTAAGATAACAGCAATATGAAATACTTTACACTACTTACCTAAACCTTGGAAGTTGTCTTTTTTCCCAGTCTCTGATGATTCCTTCCGCATCAATCTTGATGATCTCTGGTGTCAGTTTGAGGATGTTGACAGGTTGTAGTTTGATGATGGTGTGGCCTCCCTTACCGTCCCACATGAACCTCTGCTTGGGCTTCATCACAGCCACCATCTGGTAGTACAGTTCACTGTGCTCCTAAAATCAACACAACATTTGTCATTTCTTGCCAATTAACTTCCTTAAAAAATAACGAGTGGACTGTGTAATTCATTCTACACTCATCATGTTGTGTTCACTTGAGTGGGTGTCAAAGTCAGGCAGTCAGGTAAGTATTCTTTTATTACCTCTGTATCATAGATTTTAAATCAATACTTCTATTGAGCTATAGTAACACCAACCAGGTTTTATATTTTCACTGTAAACTAGTACGAGAACAATACTTTTTATTGAAAAGTATATACAATCTGACAACGTGGTCTGATATCAAAGTTTCTAACTGTCTTAACTTAGGAAGGAAAGTAAATTTCTTCTTTTAATACACAGCTGCTGGCTGTTCTTATTTAATATTATTTTATAAGTGTCAAATTATAGGATGGCTCTTAATTACATAAATACCCCCGTCGCAGCAAACCTGCCAACTAAGCGTATGTCCATTTGTCTAAATTGATTTTCAATAAAAAATATATTTAAATAACATTATGTTTAACAAGTAGGCTACCTAGGTTTTTACAAGGCTATTGCTACAAGGAAATTTATAAAGTGTGTTTTTAGTAAATATTAATAGCTTAGTATAAAATAAATAAATTTGCCAAGTTTGATAAAAATATATCCATAAACAAGCAAACTACAACATTTTACAATATTCTCCGTATGAATAACATGGGAATTTTAAATTTACATTTTTTTTATTTTTTCTTTTATCAATAACGGTACAAAAATACTTTTATATACTAAATCATTTGTTTTTTTTTTTAAGCTCTTTAGAAAGGTCTAAAGAGAAATTGGGAAACTTTGTGTTTTCAGGGTCAAAAGTGAGAAATTTTTCCCCCATAAAACCCCCCGTAAAGCCCCGTTCCCCAGGTCCGATCATGCTGGTTCGCGAACTCATTCAAGTTTATCCCGCTTTACACCTTCAAACCAAATTTCATCAAAATCGGACAAAAATTACTCAAGTTCACGGACACACACACATATATATATATATATATACATATATAAAAATTTGAACGAATGGTGTTTTTGGCCTCTGGGGACATCAAAATGAAAAAGTAAATCGGTCCCGGGCCTAGGTCTTACCATGCCACCTACAGTAACAGCTACTTCCCTATAGGGAAATTCACTAAAAGTATGATTTAAAGTAACAATGTTTAATATGTCTACAATAATTAACTATCAGTACTCTTGCCAACATTTAAATAGATAGACAATGTTGTATCTGTTAATTTTGTTCTCTGTAGGAAAGTAGTGATAGTAGTTTACAAAACCTATTTAGTATTTACAAACAATGAATACAAAACATATAAGAAGCTAAACTCTTATGGAGAATAGTCACTGGAATTTTGCTACCGAAATGAGCTTCGCCCGGCCGCCGCCAGTATCGCTTGCGCTACTCCATCTCTCTCTCTCTAAGCCGATCCATTGCCCCACTCTCTCGCACTCACGTAGCTGACTTGACAGCGCGCTCGCAATAGTCTACCTAGTGGTTGCCGCAGATGCTATCCAAAATTCAAATATTCCAAGACTGAATTTTGAACAAACGCATTGTGCTTCTTATTGGTTTTGTATTCATTGGTATTTATTAACCAATATTTACACACATCTGGCACATTGTTTTGAAAATTTGTATCAGATGTATGGTTTTTAGCGAATTTCCCCTATAGGGAATATTAGCGAATTCCCCCTATAGGGAATCAGCTATTACCGTAGTACTCATGGTAAGACCTGAACCCGGGACCGATTTACTTTTTCGTTTTGAGGTCCCTAGAGGCCAATCCATTCAAATTCATATATATATATATATTTTTTAGTTTTGCTCACTTTTTAGGACTACTTTTTCAATAAATAAGTAAAATAATAAAAACCAGAGTACCCTGAAATTCATTTTGGTACTTTCCTGTTAACGGGAACATTCATTATTACCGATGATTTTTTCGATATATTGATACCTATTTTGGTTTTCCGATCCATTAGGTCCATTCCGGTTTGAGGGGAGGTTCCTCACCACTTTTTTCGTAATGTACGCTGCAGCTGATTGACGTTTTGGCAAACCCCAGCTTTTGGGCTGTTTTAAAGGTATGGTCAAGTGGAGGGGATAGATTTCTTTCCCTAAAACCACCTACATTTTGTAAATGGATTATAGATAAGTGGAATACCAACTTACAGGATTTTCCGGGTGATCCTGATTTTGCAGGACTAGGACTCTGTAAACAGCCTTCGGTGTGTCTGGACTAGTCTTGCCCACCACGATGCCATACTTGCAGACATGGTCCTGATAAGATATCAACACCATGCGACCAATCACCAACTCCTTCACTGCCTTGGCTTGGATCATCGCCAACGCCTGAACAACATCAAATGGTTTAATGTTTGTTATATAGTCACATAATTTACCATGTGATAGGGATATTTTTCCTCCAAATTAGATATAGGGACGTGTTTTCCAAATTTGTCAGCAAAATAAAACAATTTCAGTGTTGTTGGATGCAAAATAATATACTGGAAGATGTTTCCGGGCACAGCCTTTAAAGTTTTACATTTACATCTATCTACTTATAAAAGGCAAAATATCACTCACTGACTAAATGACTGGCTCACAATTGATTACACCATTGTCTGCATGGTGTGCTTAGTTAAGATGCAAACTGTAAATTTTCTTTTTTCAAAGAGTCAGATTCTTGAGCTACCTGACATTGAAGCATAATGTGAGTATAAGCCTATTTTGCGTGCTGTGTTTGCTTGGTTTTTCTTAGGTTAAGTTTTGTTAGTGATTGTATATATTGACAATTGTACATTTTGACAATGCCCATTGCATTTTGTACAGTGCTTAAAGGAAAATAAATCTCATTTAATTTCTGAATATCTACAAACCGTAACAACTCAGGAATTAAAATTAAGGTTCCTCTTAAGCTCTATGTGCAATAAGAAGCATTTTCAAGAAATTCCATCAGGGTTCTACCCAAGTAGCCTCTAAAGTTCCCTTGTTACCCTTGTTGGAAAAGATTTGTTTACAGTTGAACAGATGTATACTTTTAAATTTACATATTAATAAAGGAAAGAGCTGGTTATATTAAAATTGCAATTCATGAACACATTTGTTGTAGTTGTAAACATTAAATTTTTTTATTAAACTAAACTAAAATGTGTTTTGTTGTTTGAAAATTGGTGCTTTACTGCATTACTCTTTTTATAACCTTATAACTCTTAAAACCTCTTTACGTAACTATATAAAAAAAAATCTTGAGCATTGTATAACTTTGACAATCTAAAATCTTTTGTTTTGACGCATGTACTATTCTCCCACGAATATGTAAATAAAGAACATTGTCTATAGTCTATTGTCTATTGTAACCGTTAAATGAATTTTAGAATTAAGATAAGATATTTACACTATTTACGTGGTGGATTTGAAGATTGCACATAAAAAGCACATCAAATTTTCTTTCGAGATTGTATTCTACTAATAAAGATCTTGAATTTTATGAGCATATAGACCCATGCTTAGATCTAAAATTTTCCTCTGACTGACTCCAAGCGAGGCCAGCCCCCTGAGGAGGTATGGTATCGCTGAGTAGTTTATTAAATAAATTTTTATGACCAGTAGCTTTGGATTACTTCCTTACTTTATATTAATAACTTTTTACTTAGTTCCGTTTTGTTGTTTTATTTTTATAATTATTATCGTCATCAAAGGAAAAATCCTGACATCTCGTGCGGTTTGTAGACATTACTGTTCATGGAACATTACTGGTCATGGAAACGTCATCATAGTCTTCCGCAATCACATTAAAAAGCATGAGTTTTTTAAACGTGTGAACTTTGCAGATGTGTTTTACGATCGCAATCGTAAAAGCTTCTGACTTAGTGATCGAGATTGTAAGCCGGGCTCGGCTCGGCTTGAAAATCAAGCCGCTCCCATTCCTCTAATATATATATATATATATTGTTTATCAGGATTACAAACTTAAAATATATTATATAAATTATTTATTAGTTATTTGTCTAACAACCAAACCAGGTACAGTAATGAAACTCACTTGATATTTATTGTTTTCCCTGATGTAATCAAAAGCTACATCAAAAAACTGCTCTAGCTTTTCTTCTCCTGGTCTTTTCACACCACCTCTTTTAAATTCTTCTTGTTCTTGAAGTTTTTTCAAAGCTGCAAGTTCCTGCCTATAATAATAGTTGAGATGTAGTCTAGTTAGTTAGTTACAATAGTTAGGTTTTTAAAAATCTCCAGCTTGTAAGATTTTGTTTATTTAGATAGCAACTATGTCGGTTATTAATATCTCATTACCATGGCTCTATTCGATATGGAGCACTGCAGAAGAGCCCCTAAAGAGAAAATGTTCCGTTGATTAGTATCAAAAATTGAAATTGTTAATATGACTAAATTGAGTGGGGAGGGGGGGGGGGATCCCTCCTAGTTGTATTGTAGTTGGGGTATCTCAAGGTTTAGAAATCAAGAGACTAGTACCCCTGAGGCAACGAGGACTGCATACCATACATTGTTTGAAAGCCATATACTCTATGGTATTACTGTCTGGGGTGGATCCACTACTTAATCGGGTCCTGGTTATGCAGATAAGGGCTATCAGAATAATAGCAGGCATTAGTAAAGAACAAAGCTGTAGAGATGCCTTCAAAAACCTGAACATCCTGACGGTGACTTCCATCTACATCCTAGAAACTTTTTATTACTGTGTAACCAAAGACCCGCCTAAACAAAGAGATATACATGAATACAACACCAGATATGCAGGAAACTACGTGCTGCCTGGCCACAGAATAGCAATGTTTGAAAAGAAACCACTGTATGCAGGAGTTGTAAACAGCTCCTATGTTGGAGCTGTAAACAAGCTACCAGACCACTTGAAAATTGGAGGCCCTGTGCTGATGAAGAGGAAGCTACGGAGATGGCTGCTAGACAAAGCTTTCTACTCTCTAATGGAGTTCTTAGCATGCCAAGACCACACACAACACTGAAGAAGCTTTTCCATTTCACTTTTTATCTATTATACCAATGTTATTTTTTTTTTTATTTTACGCTGTAACATTTCTTGATGAAATTGTAATAAAAGAATTGTCTATTGTCAAGCACTACTATCAAGAGTGGAAAAGATCTGATGATTTAATCTCTTGATGTACTTTTGTAGAGAAAGCTATAATTTTACTAAGCTTGTTTTATAATGGTGATAAAGCAGATTACTAAAAAAAAAACTTAACAGACAACTAATTATGCATTTGTCCAATGGAAAGTAAATAAAAGAAACGTCTTATAACACTTAAAACATATATTTACGCTTATACTGTTACTCACAAGACGGTAAATATAAAAAAACAGATGGTAAGTGGTGATCGATTTCGATTGGACACTCCAATCATCATCAGACCCAATAGGCGAATGTCATCTTGGGTCTGATGATGATTGGAGTGTCCAATCGAAATCGATCACCACTTACCATCTGTTTTGTATATCTACCGTCTTGTGAGTAACAGTATAAGCGTAAATATATGTTTTAAGTGTTATAAGACGTTTCTTTTATTTACTTTCCATAAATTTAATAACACGTACAATGCTGATCAAGAAGTTATTTTGTCCAATGCTAACCACCCAACGTGTTGTAACTAACTACATATTATTCCTATTCCTATACTTAAAGTTGGGTGATAAACATGGGAAAAACACGATTAGTTGTCTTGTGATAACTGATAACTTAGAAACCGGCATTGGTATATAACAAATTAATTATGTTTTCAAACAAATATTTTATTTTTTCTGTTAAATAGGGTATTTAGAGAAGTGTGCCTGATGGGATTTACTCACAGGGTCTAACACTTCCAAGACCAATACAGAAAACTTACATGGTACAAACACACACTTCTTTGTTTGTCTCGTGATATTAGAACACAGGAGGCTAACCTATCTTGCTCTTCTTAAAAGGCATACAACTGATAGTTTACCGGTAAGTTGAGTGCTTGGCAACTTCAGGGAACTCCTTGAAGCTGCGGGTGATCATGTTCTCTACAGTGACGTCAGCCTCCATGTTGTGTTGAAGGTTCTTGAGGATCATAGCATAAGTCATCCTGAACTGTGACTCCAGCTTCATCGGCTTGTCTGTCACCAAAGATAAAAAACGCTAACGTTAAGCATTTTACTGATAAAGTCAGATGAGCCGTTGCAAAACATAAAAGTTTATCCCTCAAATGATATACCAAACTAAACACATTTAACACATTTCTTTCTTTTTCTCTTCCCAATGGGCAGTTCACAATGCTTGAAATTATTTGAACAATCAATTTGACATAGTGGTTTTTAATAATTTTCTTTTTCAAGTCAAAAGCATTTACCGTACCTACACCAAGTAAATTTGTAGATAGCCTTAAATATTTTACTTTTACTATATCAATAATAAAATAATAGTACACACTAGGAATGAGCATCGATATTCGATGTTTTCAAAACATCAATGCTTTTCTATCGATGTTCGAAGTTTTTACATCGATTGTAGGTTACCGATGTTTTTGTTACATGGATGTATTTGGCCAAGTATTGAGAAATCAATGTTTTCCATTACTAGAGGGTATAAAAAGCTGTAGCGACTCGCTACAATAACGCAAGTCACGTGACTTAGCTGCGTGCGCAGCTACGGTAAGCACTGCGGCGAGCCGGAGAGAATAGAGTACACAGTAGTGTGTCGACCAGCAGCAGTTCAACTAGCCCGGATAAGTACTAACATAAGATTATGTCTAGATAGGTTCGTAGGGGTTGGGGAAGGGTGTAGGTTAGGGCAGATAGTAATTAATTATGTAATTTATTAGGTTCACCAATGGTCGTGGTCTGGTAATCAGCGGTCTGGAAATCAATATCCCAAAATTAGAATTCACATTTGCTAAATCTTGTTACTATTCACGAATTAGAATAAGTCCAGATATATATTTATTTCTCTGTTCACTATATTACAATTAGATATATTAAATAAAATAAAAGCTGGCTGTGATAGGCAGCTAAGATAATGTTGTGCACTTTGACGAGGTAGCTAGTTTCCTTGTAGTAGAGTTGAGCAACGACAGGAAATGTGCGTGATTTGGTAGTGGTGGGAGGAGGATATATAGGGCCCAGGTATCTTCATTTACACTCATACTACTCCACATCATCACACAGCAGATGAAAAACTAAAAACAAAGATGGTGTAGTCCCAAAAATATCGATGTTTTCGTTACATCAATAGTTGACGTCGATGTTACCATCGATGGTGAACATTGATGGTTGACCTATCGATGCTCAACCCTAGTACACCCTAGTACACGCATTGAAGAGTATCATGTATGTAATATGCCCTCCCAGAGTATCTACTTTGTACGATTGGATATTCTGTTTTGTTTAAATACCTGCTTTGTTGATCTTGACTTACCAAACATCATTGACTTAAGAACATGCTCATCTGGTATATCTTGTTTACACAAAATGATGACAGTGCCTGTAGGATCTTTGCCTCTGCGACCTGCTCGTCCTGCCATCTGGATGTACTCTGCAGGCAGCAGCGCTCGTGTTCCTGTTCCGTCAAACTTTTTCACACTGTCAAACACGACTGAGCGTGTTGGCATGTTTACTCCCATAGCAAAGGTCTCTGTTGCAAATAGCAACTGTAAAGAACATACCAAATATTTTCATAAGTCCAGTTTCAGGAGAAGATTATCTATGATTCAGATTTCCTACTGCCTGCTTATGGACAAGGATATATACTTCAAAAGAACAACTGAATAGTTTATATACTAATTAGAAAATTGGGACATGTGATGAAGTGACATAGGCCTGAACCTGGCTCTGTCAGGGTTCCACTTTGCTTGAAGTATATTCCAACCCTTCTCAGCATTTTTGTCTAAAATAATTTTTTTAATCCTTTTTAATTTTTTTGTTACACTAGGCTACATTGAAAAAAAATTTCATTAAATTTCTTTTTCTTCCAGAAAAACATTCCTTGTACATCAGTTAAAGATATATTAGAACAAAAAGATCTTTTTACAAAAATAATGTTGTTATAGATAATCAACTGTGATAAACATCTGTCTGTTTGATATTAAAACCAGACTGGTTTTCCTCAATGTCAGTCAATATCTTTCAGTGTGGATTGCTCATGAATTATTATAAACAATTTAACACGTTCGGTACGAGGGGCGGGAATTCTCGCCCCGCGGTACCGGCACCACTAGCGCAGGGTGGGAAATGTCGTCCTTCTCCAATGCCAACAACTTTGCTTCAACGTGAACTCAGCCATTGCCGGGGAAAGTTATAATCGTTGCCAGCCTGTAGCTTAGAATGTAAGCTTTAATCTGGTGAAGGTTGGTACTAAAATTTCCCGTAAAATCCCTTCTGGCAATGCTTTTGTCCCGTTTTCGGGGATTATCTCTATTCGCGCCATTTTACAAAGACTCTGGTTATTGATCCAGGCAGTGCTGATACCTTTGGGTGTTTCAGTGAACTACATCCACTTTCGGGGTAACGCAGAACAACCACGACTGCTCTTTTGTGATTCGTCTTACTGAGATATTTCAATGCCAATAGCGATCGCTGATTCAGTTAGCGCGCCGGGCTTGCAGCAGTTTAGGAGCGCCTGTGTAAAAGTTTTCAGCAGTGAAACGTGTTAAGAAAAACTACAGTATAAACATTTTTCTTACCTTAACTTTTCCTTCTTGAAAGAGTAGCTCAACTATTTCCTTGAGAATTGGAAGGATACCACTGTGGTGTACACCAATTCCCTTCTCAAGAATCTTTTGTAGTTTGAGGATCTAAGAATAAAATAATTGTTAGGTTGGTACTTGTGAAGAAAAGTTAAAAAGAAATTTACCTCGATTCACTTAAAGCTTAAACAAGAATGTCAAAGTCAAAGTCCTTTATTCAGCAGTGTGAGCTATTTAGAGCTATGAGAGCTATTTGTAGAGCTGTGAGCTATTCTGTGTCTTGTAAATGTAACACTGATTGATTATAAAACAGATAAGAGCAGAATCTCAATTTTAATCAAAGAGGTGAACTTCACCTAACTTACCAAGAAAAATTAGAGTCCATGGGACTATTTACGCTAGGAAAAAATACCAGTGTAATGTTATGTTCAGTGGCAGAGATAAGAGCCCGCAGGCCCCCCCGCAAGTTTGTTCGCCAGGCCCCCTCTGCCAATAATCTTTAAAAATCACATGTATTACCGTCTAAACTTGCACTTAAGCTTGGCACAGCATCTTTCGAGAACAATATCATCAATATGTTCTACTGACTGTGTTAGTTAGCTCATATCTTATTTTACCTCACAATTAACCAATCCTAAAGACATTTTGTGGTAAGATAAACGCTTGAAATCCATACAAAGATAAAATCAAATAAATGTAATAGGCTATTAGCCTGTGATAAAAGTATGTCAATCTATTAAATTAACCAGCTTTTAGTGTATGAGTTAATTATAACCAAAGATTAAACTGACCTAATAAATTAATACTTTAATATTTTACTTTAAAATGGTGACCATACCAATGTCATTTTAAGCCAAGAATTAATGGAGATGAGTGTAGGATAGGAAGAGTGGCGCAACTTTTTAGTTTTGAAAGGGACTAAGGCCGGCATATTCCTTAGACACAGTTGTTAATTAAAAGCCAATACAGCCAAAGGCAACTAAGGGGGTTAATTAGGGGAATTCAAACCACATTTTTGCCTTGTAGTTAACGAATTAGTCATCTAATTATCAGGGTAATAAAAATGGATAACATGTGTGATAAATTAAATGTAAAATCTTTAACCTCCTTGATATAAACAATCTGATACACGGATGGAAAATAAAGTTTTCCTACAGTTACCTAACAATGTACATGGTCTCTCACTGATTTGAGAAAGCAAAGTGGCCAATTCGCTCATCAGTAACATTGTCTCACTCTAATTACTTTGTCTCACTCCAGATTTGCAACGTGAAGGCACGAAATAGTGAGCGCGTAACATGCAGGCAACGTCGTATGCGCGCGACATACGTTGGCAGCACTGGCTGTAAATCAGCTGGTCAGCTGTTGTACTGTTGTATTCGTCACTTCACATTAAATGTTATATTAAAAGTTCACTTCTGTGTAAAAATAGGTTATGTTTCTTCACAAATTTATTTGTTTTATGGTAACTGTAGGAAAAGTATAATGTGCAACTCGAGTTCAAAGTACAATTGCCTCACTCGAGAAACCATTCCTCACTCGCCTACGGCTCGTGAGTAAGGATTTCTCTCGAGTGAGTCAATTGCTCACTTTTCTCACTAGTTGCACAAATAACTATTATTTATTTGATTTCAAAACTATTTACAAACACTGATATTGATTGTGTAGCATTTCATGTAACTCATTTTCATCAAACCACAATTGAAATACTTAACACACACTTTTATGGAACATATAATTTAATATTTTTAATTGATATTTAATATTTTTTTTCATACTTTATTTACCACTCTTTTTATAATTAATCTGTTTGATCATTGTATCGGTGGTCCAAAAATAACTCTGGGGGGAGGGGGAAGTCGTTTGATTATGTTGTATCGGTGGTGGTCTAAAAATAACTCATGAGAGGGGGGCCCAAAAAATAAGTTTGCAGAGGGGCCCGTAAAAATTTGTTACGCCACTGGCCGGGGGCCACATTGGTTCTAAATACGGTCCTATTATAGCGCCTTCACACAGTCCACGAGGAATGTAACCTGCATGACTGATGACAATTCTTTTACTTAGGTTTGTAGAGAATTTATATCGATCGGTGAAGTAATAGTGTCAGTTTAGCTGTTGTAAATTACTTGTCCTAGTGCTCATACTGGTTTTACAAAATTTTCGCCATCAATATGAGTAAATTTTGGTAATTCTCATGTAAATATCGTTATGGTAAGGGGCCCGTGTTGCTGAGCTTGTCCATGTCAATCGCAAGCCTGTGTCCTCGGTAAAATTTAAAAAAATTTAGGCCCCCCCCTTGCACCGCCGCCACTGGTTATGTTATATCTTGCATTGTGTATCTATAAAACTCTGGACTTTAATTTGCTCAGATAATCTATCTGAACTCTATCCCTTTCCTTTCCACGACCTAACTAATCAACCACTTGGCTTTTCCTTTAAATAAAACTTAAATTTAGTCAAGTTTATGTTACTACAACAGCCAAAAGTCACATCAATTTTTTTATTTCTATGGACTTGATAGCAGTGCAATACTTCTTAAGTTTGAATAAGGTTCCGGTCCCGCTGTATACAAACGAGGGAGTCTACTGTATTTAGTTTTTTTTCTAGATGATACACTTTAAAGTTTCAAATATTCATTGGGAAATTAGAATTGTGTATGGTACACCAGTATTGTTTAAATAGAGAAATTTTTTTGTTGAATAGAGATATTTTCTAGCTAAAATCATAAGAACAATACAAAAATAAGTACTTGCGGTAGTTTCTGGTCCTCTTCTTTTAATCTTGATATACTTTGTTTGAAAAATTTATAAATGTAATGTTTCTCTTCTTTTGAAGTCAAGTCCACATTTGACAAGAGGTCCGCATTGGTGTCACACCTGTTGCGAGACAATGTGAAAGCTACCACCTGCGGCAACACAACAATTCGTCAGAATATGAGATAATTGGATAAATAAATACATAACAAATAAATATCTCTTAGTTAAATAAGTGAATTTAGTTTAAAGCTTTAAAGAATAGTATAAAATTCTTTTCACTTGGATAACTAATCAGTAATCACAAAGAATTGGGTTTTGTTGTGAAATAAAAGACTCACTGTTACTAAACACAAACAAGAAGTCCCCCTCCTTTAAGGGACAACACGAGCATATTATCAACAATGTGACCCTTATTTGCAACAATGAGGTTATCTTCTGAAATCACAGTAACATTTTTAATTTTCGATTGTTCAGTCTTAACAGACTTCCTCCACTGTTAGGATAGTATGGCAATTTTCCCAAATTATTCAAAAACCACCTAAAAACTCAGCCCGTATCAATTTTCTGATTTGGTGCTTGATTATTTTAGCTTTTAGACTAGACTGGGACAAACACACAGAGTAACTCTTCTACTTACAGGTAGTTTGTCTTTTCCTGTGTGGTCTCTCTCTGACAGGAACTCGATTAGTCCCTCCCACAGTTGTTTTTCCTGTTTGGGTCCCATGAACTTGTAGCCAGAGTTTCCACCTCCCCTGCCCCCTCTGCCACCTCCACCTCCTCCTCCTCGCCACCCACCTCCTCCTCTTCCACCTCTACCTCCACCACGGCCACCCTCCTGTCCTGGCTCTTTCTCCTTCTTTTCCCGAGAGGCGATTGCTTTCTTCAACCTGAAAATTTATGGTAAATACTAAATGGTTAAAATAAGCGCTATCACATTTACTCAAACTGGTAGCGTAAGAGATTATATTAAAGGGAAGCTGACCAAGATGTAAAGATTTCTGGAACAAACTATAACTACATTTAATTAATCTATGAGAAGTACAGTTGTCCTTCAATAATCCCACAGGTATGATGCCGGGAGGGTGTTGAATTACTGAAAATGTCGATGATTATCATAATCATAATAGGTTTTTTTAAATGCATTTGGTCAAAATAAATTATGACCATTGTATTCTAAAGAAGTATTAATAACCTATTGAGCATTTGGGATGGTATTAACAAATACAATGAAGTAAAAAACAGCAGGCCTACATGCAATTTAATAAAACTAGGCTATCACAATTATGGTGCATACCACTGACTGACAGGTGATCCCCACGACCTAGAATTACCAAATTTGGTATAGGAGGTCCCTGTATGGTGTAGATGTGCAATAAGACCGGGTTTTACTAAATTCTTAATTTAAGGGGTGTTTAGGGGTGAGGGGGGTTATAGTGATTTTTGATGAAGTTATGTATGTCCTGTACTATGAGATGAACCAATGTTTTGATATTAAATCTGATGAAAAGTCGTTAGTGAGGGATTAAATTATCTACAACTTTTGTATTTAAAGTTCTTTACTATGTCAAACAATTTTCAAGTAAAATCAGTTTGTCAAAACTGTGAAAATTGACTTTGTCCTCATGTTTGCGCTTCAAAACAAGGCAGTTCCTATTCAACTGTGATTACCAAACTTTCTATTAAATTAAAAAGCAGTATATTCTACATAATAAAAATACATAAATCAATAAAAAGTGGTTAAAAAATCTTACAAGTGCTTAAATTAAACACTTAATTACATTTTAGGAGTTATTACTCATGCTATTTCTTCCGAAATACGTTTCAAATAAAACATGTAACCTCAAAAAAAAATAAAAAAAATTACTATTCTCTTATAATGAATCTTAAAAAGTTTCTTATCAAAATATTTTTCTCTTCTCTCTTAGACATGACGAAATAGCTTACTAGAAATATAACCCTAAGTGTACAGGTTATTCTATAAACCACTATGATTCTAACCTAAGTTTTGAAAGTAAATAAAAAATCCCAGGATTCACTGCCTTGTTTTGAAGCGCAAACATGAGGACAAAGTCAATTTTCACAGTTTTAGTATTTAGTTCTTACCATTAGCCTTACAGTTGTAAAATGGTGATAGTTAATACAGGGATAAATTATAGCAAAGCTGGGACCAAGATAAGATCATAACAGCTGATCAAATGTTTTGTTTACATTTTTGTCAATAGACTTGAAACTTGAAACATAGCTCACAAATGGTTGACAATGCAATATTATATCATTTAATTTTCATATTTCCCATGGGCTTGTTTTTATTAACTCGCTTTCTTGCAAATTTTGATACTTCCCGATGAGCTAGATACTTTAAATTTGAAACATAGCTCACAAATGGATGACAATGCAATATTATATAATTTAATTTTCATATTTCCCTTGGGCTACGCCACATGGGCTTCCAAATTTTCCATGTTTACATTTCGAAAGAATGTAAATATATCAATTAATTTAAGTCAGCTGTAAATACTTAAATTTGACAGTTTGAAGAGCAGAGGTTAAGAGGTACAGGGTAGCACGATTTTTATTTCAGCTGCAGTTTTTTAATAAGGACAAAATAAGAGTTTAAAAATTAGAAATTAAAAAAAAAATTATTATAGGCCTAAAACTAAAAAAATATATAATTAATTTTTTAATTAAACTGTCATAACCTAACCTAACTAACCAAACTTGCTGATAATGAAAAAATTGAATAATGGTTTACTAATAGAAAAAAATAGTTCTGTTCATAAAATAAAACTATAAACGCCTCAAATTAAATTTAATATTTTTTAATTTTTTAAAATTACACTGTCATAACCTAACCAAACTAACCAAACTTGCTGATAATGAAAAAATTGAATGAAGGTTTACTAATCGAAAAAATAGTTCTGTTCATAAAATAAAACTATAAATAGCTAGAATTCAATTTTATAAGGTTTTATAATTATAAAATTTAACTGTTATAACCTAACAAAACTAACCAAACTTGCTGATAAAGCAAAAATCTTAGACAAAAAGTTTGTGCACCCGATGAGTTTCGAACCCGGTACCATAAGTTTAGTAATCCGGCACGCTATCCACAAGACCACCGAGGCCGATAGCATCAGCCCGTTTCATTGCGCTAATGGTGTTCCCTCAGCCAATAGGATGCTCTCATTTTGTTCTTATTAAAATAACTGCAGCTGAAATAAAAATTGTGCTACAGGGTATGCTCCCAAGATATTCTTTATACAAACAAACATTTCAAAATAAAGATAAACAATCTGATTGCATATATAAAGGTGTTTGTTAATAATGCCAATTGTTATTTATTTAGTATTCTATAAAGTAAACAATAAATCAAATAGATTGATATATTTAGAGCATAGATAAAACGGTTATAGTTAGTAGATAGGCCATACATTCAATCTAATACATAATTATATAAAAAGAAACTCAAATAAACATTAGATTTTCCACATGCCTCTGTCTTAATACAATATAGATGCTTGAAATAGATTTAACATCCTCCATACACATTAAATACTAAAAAGTAGAAAATAATTTATAAATAAAAAACGTTTTTAAAATAAAACATTTCTAAACGCACTAAAAAGTAGAAAATAATTTATAAATATGTGGAGAGTAATAAATACTTGTAAGATTTAAAACGAAAAACTTGGGGTGAATGCAATTGGTAGGCTAATAATACATAGTTTAAAAGGTGAAGATAATTGTAAATTATCTATTGCATGCACCCCACGTTCTTCATTTTAAATCTTACAAGTATTTATACTCTACACATATTTATAAATTATTTTCTACTTTTTAGTGCGTTTAAAACGTTTTGTTTTAAAAACGTTTTTTATTTATAAATTATTTCTACAGTCTCTTCAAAAACTTCTAATAATATGAGTGCTACAGCTTGACAAGAATAACTTCCCTGGACTGCTATAAACTCAGTTAAAAAATCAACAATAATATCAAATCATAAGCATGTCGAGACAGTGATAGAAAACACTATGTCATGTTTTACGTTACTTATTGCTACTTTAAGATAAACTATCTCAAATACTTTTCAATAAAGTTATGAGAAAACCAACTGTACCATTGTCAAATTTGATTTAAGGGCAGGCTACAGCTATTATAAGTGAAAGGAGATAGAACAGGAATAATATTTTTGGTAAAAACATTACATAGGTTGATCCAGAGAGAGTAGTTAGAGCTCCTGGTAGACCACCATTAATTTTTCCCCTAGATTGACTTCAGTATTCCCATATGTTTAGGTAGCTTTGGTGGTTAGGATGCATGCAAATGTATTTAATCCATAGTAACTGTTACTTTATGGATAATTGATGCAAAAATGTCAATTTAGCCTGAAGCCAAGTTACAACTTTAACGGGTTCATAGTAGTAAAAAAACCATAATTATGTCTGGAGAAGTCGATGGGCAACAGCTAGGAAGATTATAAAATAAATACCTACGGAAGCAGAAGGCAAGCTAAGTAAAATGTATACAATGTATAGCATTTACACATTAATACCCCCGCCGCAGCAAACCTGCCGTCTAAGCGAATTTCCATTTGGCCGAATTGATTTTCAATTGATCTATTTAAATAACATTAGGTTTAACGAGTACCTAGGTTTGCTGCTACAAGGAAACTAATCAAGTAGTGTGTTTTTAGTAAAATATTGATAGCTTACTATAAAATAAATAAATTTGCCAAGTTTGATCAAAATATATCCATAAACAAGCAAACTACAACATTTTACAATATTCTCCATAAGAATAACATGAGAATTTTAAATTTACAATTTTTAGCGAATTTCCCATATAGGGAATAAGCTATTACCGTAGTACTCATGGTAAGACCTGGACGCGGGACCGATTTTTTTTTTCGTTTTGAGGTCCCTAGAGGCCAAAAACACCATCCGTTCAAATTCATATATATATATATATATTTATATATTTATATATATATATATATATATATATGTGTCCGTCAGCACGATAACTCGAGCAAAAATGATCCGATTTTGATGAAATTTGGTACAAACGTGTAAAAGTACGTTTATTCGAACGAGTTCGCGATCCAGCATGATCGGACCATGGGAACGGGGGTTTACGGGGGGTTTTATGGGGTAAAAATAGGGTTTTCCCAGTTTTGACCCAAAAAACATAAAATTAGGCAATTTCTTTCCAAACCATTTTGTAGAGCTTAAAAAAACAAATAATTTAGTATATTGAAGCGTTATTATGCGCCTAATGGTTACGGAGAAAATTCCAAAAAATTGTAAATTTAAAATTCCCATGTTATTCTTATGGAGAATAAGCAAACTGTTGTAGTTTGCTTGTTTGTGAACATATTTTGATCAAATTTGGAAAATGTTTTTATTTCTTACTAACTATTCACATTTTACAAAAAAAAAACTGTTTTACCCTCCCTGATGCAGCAAACCTAAGTACTTGTTAAACTAATTCTATTTAAATCAAGAATAAATGTTATATTTTTAAGTAGGTAGACATTTCAGTGTAAATCCAATCAGTCAAATGGAAATTTTTTTAGTTTTCTCCGTAACCAATAACCGTACAAAAACACTTTGATATACTGAATTGTTTGTTTTTTTAGCTCTTTAAGAAGGTTTAGAGAAAAATTGGGAAATTTTGTGTTTTGAGGGTAAAAAGTGAGAAAAACCAATGTTTACCCCATAAAACCCCCCATAAAACCCTGTTCCCATGGTCCGATCATGCTGGATCGCGAACTCATTCAAGTTTATCCCGCCTTACACCTTCAAACCAAATTTCATCAAAATCGGATAAAAATTACTCAAGTTATCGTGTTCACGGACACATATATATATATAAATCTATATATATA